TATCAGCTACTGTAATTACTGGAAAAAATATTGGAGACAAAATCTTTATACCAAGAATGAATTTGATTCCTTCTGATCCTGGATTTCCTTTCAAGTTTCAAAGGAGACAATTTCCATTATCATTGTGTTTTGCAATGACAATCAATAAGAGTCAAGGCCAATCACTCTCTAAAGTTGGACTTTATCTTCCGCGTCCAAGTATTCACCCATGGTCAGTTCTATGTGGCAATTTCTAGAGTCAAAACAAAGAAAGGACTCGAGAATGCTTATATTGGATGAAGAAGGAAATGTAACATCATGTACTAAAAATGTAGTATACAAAGAAATCTTTGAAAACCTTTAAATATGTGCAGGTACACTATTATACGAAAAACTACATGTTTACTTCATTTATTTGTTATAATTTTTAATTATTTACTCTATGAAAATGCAGATTTATGATGTTTATTATTGCTTCAAAATCATGCTTATTTAATGATCATAAAATTAAGTTTTATTCACGATCATATAACTATTTTACAAATTATATATTTTGTCATTATTTATTCTTTTTCTTCCTTTATTGTTTAATTGTGTAATATGTATTATAAAAAATAAAATTACAATATTTTTTACTAGATTTATCTTTTTTATGCAATATATCAAATTTATAAATTATTATACTAATTTATTTTGATTTGTTATTATTGCATATTATTCAAATGTGTTACATTATATTATAATCATTATGTTATAATCATTATGTTATTATAGAAGGTATTTTTTAAATTTTGTATGATATAATTTTATCGATTATATTTTGTATTTATTGTAAGTTTTTTTTTATTTTATACAATTTTTTTAACATAATTTTTTCATTTAACATTTTTCAAAAATCCCGTGCGTTGCACGGGTTATGATACTAGTAATGATATATATGCAACATTTTTTTATTACTTTATTTTACCTATTACATTAAGTTTCTCTCTATTGAAAAAAAATGTAAAAAAAAAATGTGAGCTTTGAAAAGATATAGTTTTGGTAGAACTCAATGATGTTGTCGGTTGAATAATTTAACGGATTACGTTGACTGGAATATGGGTCCTTTTCTTTGTTGTCGTAATTTATCACCATTTGTCGAAAAAATCAAAAGCTTTTGTCCAACAACTTTTGAGAATATTAGGTGTTCCCTTCATAATTTGTAAACAAAATGATATAATATACACGTGTTAGGTTTATGTAGCCATGCTAATCTAATCTTATCTTTTTTACTTATCACCCACGTAAGTTGGCGCTTCAAATCGCTTCAAAACTTATCTATAATGCCCAGGATGATTCAATCATGTGATCAAGGGATTAAATTTAAGGTATAATAATCGTTAATGGACACCCTATTCATCCAATATGAAAGATTATTGAAACAAATGCTTTAACATGTTTTTTCTCTTAATTAAGAATTCAGATTCGATCTAAATTTTAAAATTAAACCACGATGATGGGAAATATCATTTTACAAAGATAAATCAATTGATTCGGTAAAAGATAATTAATTAAATATCAAATAAAAATATCATATACCTTTCATTCTTAATAACGTCGACATAAGCTCGTGCTTAGTTGATATCAAACTATTCTATGTGAGAAGTTGTAGGAATGACAATAACTAGATACCAGCGAACATGATTAAGTTAAAAGCATAGCTGGAATGATGTTCATTGTTAATATGATGCATCTCCAAAACGCTTTTCTGCAACAACCACACAGATAAAAGAGCAAACATAACAAAATGAAGGATGAAAAACTACAAAAATATGTGCAGATGACTCACATGATACTCATATATATGCATTCCTAGGTTCAAAGTAAACTTAGAGGTAAGACTTGTCTAAGACTAATAAAATTATTTTAATACAATATTTTATTAAAATTACCAACAATATATTCTATTAATAAATAATTAATGACATATAATGAAAACTAACAAAGATCCGAAATAATGACACACCTTTTCATTTTTATTAATTTTATTTGTTAAATATGTTGCTTTTGAGATCGGGTACATAGTACATGTCTCTGATTTCTCCAACTCGGTTATTCTTTTGCAGGTACCAGATTGTACCTCGGCCTTTTACTACCACCTTTGATGTATCTCCAAACGATACGTGTCTGGTCTCAACTTTAGTGAGTTCCTTAAAAAGTTTTTTGTCCCCGCACATGTGGTTACTTGCTCCTGTATCAAGATTCCAATCTGAGTTGTCAGAACAACTCGGACTTAGCTCGACACCCAAATTTCTCGACATCATCAATACTCTTTTTTCATCAGCGTCCTCAGAGAGGAGGTTTGTTTCTTTCTTGCTCTCAGATCGGCAGTCCTTCACGAAATGTCTCACATTCCCACAATTATAACATTTGATACCTGAATAGCAGTCCTTAGTAAAATGTCCATACTTCCCACATTTGAATCACTCAACTCCGAAATTGCTTGACAAACCACCTTGGCCTCTACTGCCACGACCTTTACCTTGTCTTCGACCACACCAGTTTTGTTGACTAACTTGCTCCTTACCTCGTTCATATCCTCCTCTGTTGCTACCACCTCGGCCTTGAGTTTTATGAGCATAAGGAATCTTCTTCTCCTTTAAGGTTGTCTTTCCTTGGAGTGCTTGATCAAGGGACTTCTCTTTCTTCTTCCTTCTCCGCTGCTCATGCGTTTCAAGCGACCCAACAAGCTCTTCCACCGAGAGCACCGACAAGTCCTTGAACTCCTCTGTTGCACAAACGATATTCTCAAAGTCATCGGTTAACGACCTTAAGATTTTCTCCACCATTCGGCAAGTGGGCAACGTCTCTCCATTTCTTCCGAGTTGATTCACCATGGTCTCAACACGAAAGATGTACTCGGCAACCCTTTCGACCTCTTTCATCCTTATGTTTTCAAGCTCGCCTATGAGAGTTTGAAGTCTGACTTGCTTCACGCGATTATCCCCTTCATATGCCTTCTCCAAAATATCTCATGTTTCTTTTGAAGATTTAACATTTGTTATCTTCTAAAAGTCAAACTCATCCACTACAAGAAATATTGAAATTACCGACGGTCAAAATCCGTCGGTAATAACAAAAATCCGTCGGTAAATAGATATTACCGACAGAATTCCGACGACCAAAAATTCATCGAAAATTGGGTTGTCGGTAAAAATTACCGATGGATTTAAATAGTCCGTCGATAAATATTTTACAAAATTACTGACAGACAGGATCCGTCGGTAATATTTTTATTATTTATTGCATTTTTTACTTATTTTATAACCTATTTTTTTAGAGATCCCCTCCCCTTTATATTAAAATTCAAACCCAGTATATTAGAATTAGAGGTTGATACTCCAACCACTAAGCTACTAGAACTTTTTAATAATAATTTACAAATAAATTATATTTATATACAAATATATTTATATATTTTGATATATTTATATATAATTAAATATTTTTTTAAAATTATTTAATTTAATAAATTATTATAAATTAATCTAATTATGATTAAATTAAATTATTAAATAAAAAATATTTAATTTTTTAATTAGGTGAATAATTAATTTATTAGAATATATTAAGTAATTATTATATAATTTTACCGACGGATATATCCGTTAGTAATTAATTGTTAATTTACCGATGGATTTACCAACGAAATATCCGCAGGTAAATAATTATTAATTTACCGACGAATTTATCGACGGATATATTCGATCGGTAATTAATTGTTAATTTATCGACGGATATATCCATTGGTAATTAATTGGTAATTTATCGACGGATTACCCGGTAACTAATTATTATTTTACCGACAAATATATTCGTCGGTAAGACCAAATTCTATATTCGTCGGTAATTTCCGTCAGTAATGACTCATTTTTTGACAACTACAAATCTATCGGTAAATATTCGTCAGAAATATACGATTTTCTTATAGTGATCAACAACTCGGTACAACATGTACAAAGTTGTTTTGTCCTTTACCCGTGTTGCTCTTAACGCAGCAAGCTGGACAATCGTCTGCTCTTTAATATTCTTTGATTTTTGGTGTTCATTTTCGACTACATCCCATTCTTCTTAGGAACCAAGAAGAGCCTTTATTTGCAGATTTCAGTTATCATAGCTTACGCTTTTTGATAACTTTGGCAGAGACATACTGTTAGCTAAGTTGGTAATCTCGAACAAATTCTCTAACTCTCAAACACTCTCTCTAAGGCACTCGGACATTTAAGCTCTCAAGCTCTGATGTCAATTTGTTGACAAATAAGTATCTAAATAAAACACTTTTGTATATTATCACTTGATGTATTTTTACAATAAATTATATATGGTCAATTTATAGGTTTCTAGATATAGTTTCTTAACAATACATATATTTAATATAACAACTACCTATCAATTATATGCATTTAATGTTTACCTAACAAAATATTGAGCTATATACACATACATACTGAAACATTGCTTGCATTATTATGATATGTATATAAGCTAACTGCAGACTGTTTGGTTTCCAATTCAAATAACAAGCATGACATGATTAAATTGGTAGAGAAAGTTTTGTTGTGTATACTGAGTCAAGAAGTATAAAGAAGGAAAAACGAAGGTTGTGTTTGGGATGGTTTATAGAAATATAGTATGATACAACTGAAAACTCATCAGATAAAAGTTGGAGGTGATGGCCATCTGTCTTTGAATCATCTGGTTTTGATGTTTGATGGCTATGGACTGCTTCCTCCTTGTCCTATTCGATGATGCAGTGGTAATAATTAACTTATATTCACTTTCCTGCCAAATTTGGTCAAAGGTACGCAGACACAAGAGGGTTGGCACATATATAATATTGAACCAAAATACAATAATGCTGCTCATAATAAAATATATTAAACTAATGAATAGTAATGAGGCTAGATGGCTTGTGGGCACCTTGAACCTTCCCTCTATTTAAGTCCTTTGTTTTGGTGGCAATGTTGTAAACCCAAAGAGCAATGAAGAACATGGGTTCTGATATCCAACCATTGGTTGTGTTTGTGGTAATTGCATTGGTGACATTAATCATCCCTACCAATGCAAACCTCTCTCCCCATTTCTATGATAAAGATTGCCCTCAGGCATTGCCACTCATAAGGTCAGTGGTTCAACGAGCAATTAACCGTGAACCACGCGTCGGAGCATCTCTTCTGCGTTTGCATTTCCATGACTGCTTCGTAAATGTAAGTTACTACTACTACTACTGCTATTCTATGAAACATTCTTAATTGATGCTATGGTGTCCTATGTAACAACAAGAATATATATCTTATAGTAGCTCAACATGTATACAAATATAGTTTCCCATCATTCATTATTCCTTACATGTGGTCTAAGTTTGACCTAATTTCTGTATATAAAAAAAATTGTTAAAAAATTTCAACAGCTGAGGTATTTTTTGAATTGTACTTACATAATTTTAACCATATAAGTTATACTGACCTCTTATAGGGTATAAGGGATGTATGTATATATAAAAAAAATGTCTCAGTATAATGTTTTTAAGAGATGTAGGTATAATATAAAAATGAGTTTCAGTTAATGTTTTTAAAAAGAGTTAGAGTGTAAGTATAATTTAAAAAAATTAGAAAATGTGAATATTGTTTCAAAAAGCTAGTCTTTAATTTTTGAATAGGTTAAGTTGAAACTATATGAATTAAAAGCACTTTTTGTTTTCTTTTCTAAATTATCTATTACTGTGTCCTAATAGTTATAACTATTTTTTAATGATATATATGTGATATTCATTCGAAATTTCTTACTCTAGGAACATGTAAATTCTCTCCATTAAGCTGTTATAAGAATGCGAATGTGGCATGGTTTAAATTTGTATAGAATAATCATTTAGACACAAGTAGGAATCATTGCAATCTTGGTTCCAATCCGAATATGAAAATGAAAGCAAAATTTTAGTTTATCTATTGTGTGTAGCCAACGCAAGAGAAAAGTTCATGTGTATAAGTTTTGAGTTTAATGAATATTCATTATGGAAAATAATTTTTTTACACTATAAATTATGATTGACGTAATTTTTATAATAACTATTATAAATATAATTTTATGTGATTAAATAATAGTAATAACAATATTTTATAATTCTGTTTTTCTTTTCATATCAACTTTATCATCTTTAAAGATTCTCCTTCTTACCTTTTCTAATATATAAATCACAAGAGTCTGAATATTTCTTTGTCAATTTGTTTAAAGTAATTGCATGCATACATTGAAAGAAACTTCATACCAAATTGCACGTACCAATGTTTACATACATTTTCTCTTTACTTGTTTTCAATTATTGTTCCTATAACGATTTTCTATCTTATCATCCACGTATCATAACAGTGGACCAGAAAGCAATAATTAATTGAACTCGAACTCTATCATTTTATATGCTACACATACTGACAGAAATCATGTTAGATATGAAACTATATAGTAATTTTAAATTGTATAGCTCGTGGCTGCTAGCTTCCATTACAGTACCTTACTGTAATTACAATTTGAATTTTCATTGATGTTCAATGAAAGGCTGAACTGTAGCTAAAAACTTTCATGCCTTGTGAGCTGTAAAATGGTTTATAACAGGATGATTAAAAGGTAGTATAATATATTCCAAAGAACAAAGATAATATTAATCACCATGTCACTTCTACTATATATAGTACCATATGATTTGATTTACTGAAATATAATATGAATGCATTCAAAACAACAGGGGTGTGATGGATCAGTTTTGCTAGATGACACCACAAACTTCGTTGGCGAGAAGACGGCATTTCCAAATAATAATTCTATCAGAGGATTTTCCGTGGTTGATGAAATCAAAGCAGAGGTTGACAAGGCCTGCAAACGCCATGTGGTGTCATGTGCAGATATCTTAGCCATAGCAGCTCGTGATTCCGTAGCCATTGTAAGTTTTATTACACAAACCTTTCACTCTCATGTGGAAATACTATGAGAAAAATTCATATACTAACAAACAAATTAATTATCAAGCTGGTTCTCCATATTAAACTAAACTAATAGCTCAGCCATTGCTGAGTTCTCAGAAAAAAGTATAATGTATCAGTACTATCAAAATGAGATATTGATAGTGTACATTAATTTCCTATTGTAATTGGACAATTAATATTGTAATATATCAAATCAATAATTAGAGATGGTAAAATGTACGAGGCTAATGATCTGGCCCAAATATGTTTGATAAAATATAGAGTTTGAGTTTTTAAATCATGAGTTTGAATTCAATTCAAGTTTCTTAGAAAATGTAACATTTCTTTTCACTTTTCATAGTATGGGGGTCAACCCTTTTGGTACCAAGTGTTGTTGGGTAGAAGAGATGCAAGGACTGCAAGCAGGGCAGCTGCAAATTCCAATCTTCCTCCTCCAACCTTCAGCTTCTCTCAACTTGTTTCCAACTTCAAGTCTCACGGATTGAACGTCAGGGACCTTGTGGCCCTCTCTGGAGGCCACACCATTGGCTTTGCAAGGTGCACAAACTTCAGAAACAGAATCTACAACGAATCCAACATTGACCCCAGGTTTGCAGCATCTTTGAGGAATATATGTCCTCGACGTGGAGGAGACAACAACCTAGAAAAATTGGATGCTAGTCCTGCAAGAGTTGACACCACATACTTCACAGATTTGCTGCACAAAAAGGGTCTCCTCCATTCTGATCAAGAACTCTTCAAGGGACAAGGCAGTGAAAGTGACAAGTTGGTGCAGCTGTACAGTAGAAGTCCTTTAGCTTTTGCTAGAGACTTCAAAGCTTCAATGATCAAAATGGGAAACTTGAAGCCTCTTACTGGGAATCAGGGAGAGATCAGATGCCATTGCAGAAGGGTCAATTAGAATCACCAATTACATGCTCTGGATTACATTAATGGTGTGCAGCGAAAAGAATAAGAAACTGTATTATATTTTATTGTATGCTTAGTCATGTCAATTTTAGGCGTGACTGTGTATTGTTCAAGAAGTCATGTTGCATGTTATATGTTGTATGAGTTGTTTTAAGTAACTTCAAGTCATGAATAGTTGAACTCAAATGGTAATCTAAAACCTGAGACGTGTGACACTTACATTCTATGTTATGGATTTCAAACAAATACTTTACTCACCTATTTAAAAGGCTTCACAGATATTGATATATAGAACACTTGAAGGTAAATAAAACCAAACAATATAGGGCATAAATACTGTCAAATGCTCTAAATTTAACAATTGTGTCTTCTCAAATAATCAGTGGTTAACAATTTAAGGTCATTTGTAAACCTTGCTCACATAATATATTTTGTGAACATAGAATGCATAAACAATTGAACAGAAGGCGTTATAATGTATAGAATGGAGTAATAATGCTCTAAATTTTAAACTATCAAATTCAAAGCCAACACTTGGCAAACATACATATATAATTTATAATATCAGCAACACTTGCAAAAGAACAATATCACGTTCCGGTTTATTTTATGAGTAACACAATAACATGCTTCTCAGCAGCGCAACCAAGACACCAATTTGGAATTTCTGCCAACTACAGATTAAAAATATATTAAGAACATTTGCTTTTGATAGTGTATATAGTTGGTATTATTATACTCCTTCCTTGAACATTAATTAACATCAAACTGTGAAGCAGAATCTGACACGAATACCACTTCAGATTTTCATTAGGAGTTGTTACATATCATATATTCAATTACATTTGATTCTTTTACTTGGTGAAAAAAAGCAAAAACACATTTTTGTCTTTAGAATTTCTGTGCAACAGATTAGTACTTGAAGCCCAATATGATAACTACTAGGCCCAATTTCAATTTAATCCAGTTCCAGATAATATTTCAACATATAGATATGAAAATAGAAAACATATAGTTATATAGAGGTAAAATTTTTAAAATAATATTAATATCACGATTTAGTAACTATTGTCCCTGTTCAAATTAAGAAAGGAAAAAAAAAATGGTCAAGTGACATGAATCATGATCCGATTCAGTGAGGTCCAATTCTTTAATCAGGATCAATAATTAAAAAAAGAAGTGAGTTTTGTCAGCAATTAAAGAGAGAAAAAGTAATAAACATATTCAAACACAGAACTTCTTTATATTTATTTTCTCTGTGATAAATATATTTTAGTTTAATTTTTAATAATTAAAAATAAGTATCGTTGGCCATAGTTGTTCAGATCCAAACCCAATTAGATAATATTGTTTTTTTTGTACGTTGACAGATTAAATTCAAACTTGTTAAAGAATTAAAAAAAAAACATAATTTTAATCATTAAAGCAATCTCTTATATGTTTATTATAAATTTGGTCTTTCATTCAATAATCTATTGCCACTAGAGTAATGCTTTTACTCATATTTTCTGTAACATTTTTCATATATTTTATTTTCCTATATTTTTTATTATTATATAATGAATGATGGACAGAATAAGTGTCGGCTTTATTATTGTTTTAATGTACAGTAATATTAGTAATATTTTTATCTTTAATAGTAAGTATTTTCAAAATATAATAAGTTATGACTTTTGCATGATGATAATTTATCAAATTAAATTCTTATTATAGACTATCTTTCCTCCTTTTTATTCATTCTCACATGAAAAATAATCTCCATATGTTAATCCTCACTCTCTCTATATATTAATTTATGAAAAACTATAATTTGATTACATTTCGTTATGTCTCACATAATAACTAAAAAAATCACAAAACAAGACCGTTTAATGATAAGAAATCGTTTAACATTACACACACCCGTTAATGAGGGAGAAATAAATTATAAAAAACAATATATATATATATATATATATATATATTTTATAATTATTTTATATAATTTTTCATATACAGTTGATTAATTTTTCCTCATATACTGAAAAATTATTATTTGCACTTAATATCTTACATTGATATTTTATTACATTGGCTTTTCTTGTCCAACAACTACTTGGAGGTTTAAGTGTCCTTCTCATATTTTTCAACTTGATCAATATAATACCATTGGTTGGGTAATGAATGTTCTAACGTGTTTAGCCAAGCCTCTTTTCATAACCCGTATTAATTAGACGTTCTTAGAACAAATTTTAATTTGGAATATATATATCCTTTTCAGGTGAAATATGCATGAAATAATGAGTTTTAACTTCAATATGGTAAGAAAAAAAATACAAACATAAAAAAAGTTATGATTTTTTATATAAGGAAAGATTTATTCATTTTGGTTTACAGAGGGTAAGTGAGTCAGGATAAATTTTAATAAAATAAAAAGTAAAAATTATTATTATTATTATTATTATTATTATTTAAAAGAGTGATAAAGTATATATATAATTATCAAAATATCATAAAAGATATATTTCTTTTTGTCATTAATATAATTAAAAGATGTGTACCATAGGCTACAATTAACCTGTCTACATCCAAGAGTTGGTGAGTCAATGCTTGAGCAATTCTTATGGGATAGTGGTCAATGGTATACTGAGCTCAAAATCACTTGGTATGTTTTGACCTACAATATTATATATATGTTTGTAATTCAAACAAGGAATCAAGGTATAGTTAGGATCAAGTTGCTGTACATCATTCCCTCCTATATAAATCCTATATACTTATGCTACCTACACTCACAGAGAGCAATACCTTATAAGTACAAAACCTCATGAAAAATTAATAATAACAATGGATTTGCATCTCCAATCTTTTCTTGTGCTTGTTATGGCCACTTTGGTGGCAATTATGATCCCTACCTTTGCTCAGCTAAGTCCTCATTATTATGACAAAGTTTGCCCTGAGGCGTTGCCAATCATAACCTCAGTTGTTAAGGAGGCAATTATTCGTGAAAAACGCATGGGAGCATCCTTGCTGCGTCTGCATTTTCATGACTGCTTTGTTAATGTAAGTTGCACAGCTTCAATATATGTTCCATACTGCTATTGTTAGTTAAGTAGAGTTGACATTGTGGCTAGTTTCTACATTAACTTCACCAATAACATTTTTCTTTCTTCAGTTCAGTAATTACCATATAAACCAAAACTATGTACTGTAGCTTCATCATGATCAATATTCTTATAAATATATGTAGTTTTGTTATGATTTAATCCTAGCCACTGTAGATATCATGCATGTTTATAATGTCAAGTGTGCTTGTTTCAATATATCACACCAAAACAACTAAAGTATTCTATTATTTTGAACGATAATTTATTTTATATTAATGTATAGTTATATAATGAATTTAATTCTCATTGACCAAAATCAGTTGACATGTATAACATACAAGACTTGGATGCTGCAAGTAGGAAAATGAAACAATTGTGTGTAATGCAACATGATGCGTAGGGTACAAGTCAGAACCAAATAACAAAATTTCAAGCAATACATGATAAACAAAAAGAACCCATATCACTGGTTTTTATAGTATTATACACATATACCATGAACCTGAAATGTCCACGTGGAAAAAACTACAGGGCTGTGATGGATCGGTGCTGCTGGATGACACAGCTTTCTTCTTGGGGGAGAAGACTGCATTTGCAAATCTGAATTCTATCAGAGGATTTGAGGTGGTTGATAAAGTCAAAGCTGCAGTTGATGAAGCTTGCAAAGGTCCTGTAGTATCATGTGCAGATATCTTGGCTGTAGCAGCTCGTGACTCTGTAGCCATAGTGAGTGCAATCCAAATCTTTCTTCAATGCAATCATTTTATGGTTAAAAACCATGTGTTCACTATAATATCCAACCTCTATCTATCTATCTGTATATATATCAATATATATAATATGTAACCAAACAATAATTTTTATTATAAATTAAAAAAACTCGATTATATGTCAAATAAAAATCAGTTAAAATTATGTATTACAGACATATATATATATATATATATATATATATATATATATATATATATATATATATATATCCTAACCAAATAGCTCATTTCTAAACTGGTATAATTAACTTACATGAATTTCAACTTGAATGTGTTACGAAAGGGACTGTTAAAAAGTATTGTATACCCTTCTTCTAGTTAATTTAGTTTATTGTATGCCACACACTGATTAAAAAGTGAGAAGTTACAAATTTTGCTTCATGTGTTAATTGTTAACAGTTGGGTGGTCCACAATATTGGTACCAAGTGTTGCTAGGAAGAAGAGATACACGACAAGCAAGCAGGGATGCTGCAAATGCCAATCTTCCTCCCCCATTCTTCAACTTTCAACAGCTTCTTGCTAATTTCCAATCTCATGGACTAGACCTCAAGGATTTGGTGGCCCTCTCTGGTGGCCACACTATTGGATTAGCAAGGTGCACTCTCTTCAGGGATAGGATCTTCAATGACACCAACATAGACCCCAAACTCGCAGCAACTTTGCGTGAGTCATGCCCTCGAAGAGGAGAAGATTCTAGCTTAGCACCACTTGATGCCACTCCTTCAAAATTTGACACCACATACTATAAGGCTTTGTTGTACAAAAAGGGTCTCCTCCATTCTGATCAGGAGTTATTCAAGGGTGATGGTGGTGAAAGTGACAGATTGGTGCAACTATACAGCAATGACCCTAACGCTTTTGCCAAAGACTTTGGAGTTTCCATGATTAAGATGGGTAATTTGAAGCCTCTTACAGGGTCTTATGGAGAAATCAGGTGCAATTGCAGAAAAGTCAACTAGCACTGCGTATTATTTCAAGTCTTGATCACAAGGGAAGGATAACTATTTGAGCAACTGTCTGACATAAAGTCATATCATATATAAGTGCCATTTTTTATACTCTATATTATCTTAAACTACAGTTTAATAAAGCTCTTGGTTCAAAACTTCACATAATGAAGTGCGAAGAGTTAAAGTCTGTAAACGCGAGATACGTTGCTTTTACTATTAATATTTTTCTTGGCTTTGTTTGTGAGACCAATTGGCTTGCGCCTTGGAAGTGTTTATATTAATTAAAATTTTACACGTGGTTACAAATGTGTAATTGGTTCACTGTGTTAGATAAAGAAGATAAAAAATTAATTCTATTAGTATTAAAACCGAAAGAGTAATTAGGCTTTTTTTTTCCTTTAGGTTAGCTATTAATATATGTTTAAAATTGTGTAGTAATTGGTTGAAAATATTCATTAAAGAAACTATTCAAATTTATTTTGGGTCAAACATAAACTATGCAATAACTTGTTGCTGCCAACTCCTTTCATAAGTTGACCAGTTTCGTAGACAACAGAACATGTTTATATTTGATTTAAAGTCTGAAAAGTGTGTTTATAAATTTTGAAAAAATAAGATGAATGTAAAAAATTTAGAAACAAACTCCTTGACTGGCTTTTCTTTTTAGCTAAACGGTTAACGTGGTATTATTTTAGAAAGAAAACGTGTCATCCATGAATTTAGACATTTCGGTTTATAATTTTTAGAAGTTTATTCAAACAATTTTCCTAAGGCCATATCTGAATGGTTCAAAGCAAATGAAGGAAGTATAAGGGAAATGTATTTTCTTTTGGTGATAAAGAATAGAGCACGCGTGTTGCTGCACTGTTCAATAATTGTAACATTTTATTTGATGTTTCATGTGCTGATATAGATGGTCTTACCAAACTTTTCTATTTTTTCAGATAGTTAACTTGGAACTGACCAAATATATTTTAGAATAAGTTGTTCTACATTTTCAACTCTTTGAAATGATTGTCTTACCAAAATTTTCTATTTTTTTAAAGGTATATAGTTAGCCACTAGTAATGCATTAATATGCAGATGAAATTTTCTATTTGCTAATGCGATGCATTGATGCATAGACTACAGTTAACAAACCACAGAATTTCAATACACCACTTTCCTTTATTCCCCTCTTTTTTGAGAGGACTAAAGCTTCTAACCACAACACCTTACACTTAAATTCTTAGATTATTATCACTAAACATACAAGGAAATACCATAATACATGAAAGATCCCATATATTATTGTGACTAAATGAGCAATTTTTTTTTCATTTTTGCTCCTCTTGTTTTCTAAGAAACTTTTAATTAACCTTGTGGCAATTAGTACGAATTTGGCCACTTTTCCCTGTTAAGGGGCCAAGGTTTCCCATTTTCACCATGGCACTAGCAAAGTCTGCATAGAAAGCTGAAGGGTCATTGCTATAGGCAGTGACCTGAGAATCTGTAGAACCACCACTAAACAACTGTTGATCAGAATGTAGAAGCCCCTTTTGATTGATGAGATTCTTGAAATAAGCATTGTCAAATAGAACACTCGTGGTGACATCAAGTGGGGAAAGGTTGGTGTCTCCACCCGTGCTTGGACAGTTTGACTTGAGTGATGTTGCAAAGTTTGACTCAATGCTGGTTTCATTATAGACCCTGCCTCTGAATAGCTGACACCTGGCTAGCCCCGTCGTATGAGCTCCTATATATGCACGATTCATAACATGTGAGAATATTGCTGTCATAATCTTACTTAATACATGTATGTGATTGATTAAGTAGCCAGAGACTAGTGAAAGTTACTGAATAATTAGAGAGATCCTCTAATGATGTTGTAATTTACCTGCCAGTGCTACCATTTCCTTGGTGTTAAACCCCTTGTTTGCAAAAGAAGATATAAGGGCACTAAGATCCATTAGTGGGGATGGAATATCCTTTGTGGCAGCATCTTTACTTGCCGTGGTTGAATCTCTTCTGCCTAACCCAACATTCCATGATGGACCTCCCAGCTGATATATAAAGACCCAATATTATTATAGATGTTATCTGTTCAAATTTATGATATGTATCAAACTTACTGCAACAACGGAATCACGGGCAGCAACAGCCACAATATCTGCACAAGAAACAACTCCGGGGCAAACAGCCTCCACTTTAGTTTTGATGTCATCAATCACTTCAAAACCTCTCAGAGAATTCACATTTGCACCGGCTGATTTCTCTCCAGTGAAGCTCGATGTGTCATCTAACAGAACAGATGCGTCACATCCCTACAAATGTATCCATAACAAATATTAATTCATAATATAAAGTTAATTTAGTTTGCCCCTCATAATTCTTATGTGCATTAAAAGCATAATCATTAGCTATATTACCATGAAACCAGAAGATGTAAAGAAATTTGTTTAACCAATCTAAAAACTTGAGCTGATTTGATAAACCAATGTAGCTAGTCAGTTAAAAAACAATGTTATTTGCTTAACTTAACATGCATGTCAACTTTTGATTCCATGCGTGCTAAGTTCAATTAACTTTCAACTACTGTGCCAAACTCTTTCTTCTTCCAATCACAGAAAGCAGTTCGAATTTAAAATTCACATTCACTATCAAGGACTGGATGCATGCATGAGTACTTACACGCATTCACACATATGACGGAAAATAGTGTTTGTAGTATTTTAGAATGGTACATAATTTCTGAAAAGAATGCTACTATAAAACGAGAACGGTAATTTTGTATGGAAGTTTCTGCCAAAATATTATTGGAAATTTAATCATGGATGCATGAGGTTAGTTGAAAGTGAGAAACAAAAGATGAAGCTATAGGAATAAAGAGAAAACATGCATTGACAAAACAGTCATGGAAATGAAGACGGAGCAATGAGGCTCCCATGCGATGCTCTTTGGCAACTGCACTGATCACTGCAGATCTGATGATGGAGAGGGCTTGAGGACACGTTGATTGGTAGCAACTTGAAGTTAGCTGAGAAGAGACCATGGCAAACATGCAAAACAAAATGGACAGAGAAAAAATGTGACTACATGAATCAAATGCCATTGTTTAATTATAAAACACGTAGTTACTGGTTCTTGTGTCTTGCACTTGTGAAGCAAACACTTCTCAAGCTTTATTTATAGTGAGCCATGCGCACTCGAGCAATTAATTATCTATATTGTTAATTATGATCCATTTTCATTTTGTTATAAGAAATATACTAACAGTATAATTGAGAAGAAAAATCTGTCGAAGTTATCAACCAATTTATTATAGACAAAATTAGTGAAAATTTCATATCTATAACATTATAAAAAAAAAACTCAAAATTCTTTAAATGTAGAAGATTACGTAATTTAAAAAAACAATATAACAAGAAAAATACTATCGATAAACAGAGCAAATGTTTGACAGAAAGAAAAATAAAGTTTATGTGTGATTAGAGCATAGCTGAGAGAACTTGTTAGTATTCTACTTTTCATATTTACATTAATTATTAAATTTGGTTGCGTAATTGAAAACAGCTTTTGGAATCGTGAAGCTAGTTGGGTCCAGCATGCTTGGACTATATGGCCTAATCTTCACGAATCCTGAGTAGTTAAAAATGCTGCCAAATTTCATTTATAGTCAAACATTCTTTCACTTTTTTATCCATTGTGGTAAGAGTGGACTTTTATGCCAAAAATGCTGGATTAGGTTTAGCTTGCAAGTTCAATTACTTTCTTTAATCATTGTATGTGTTATTTCATCCGAAAAAAAATCTTTTACAAAAACTCATTCCTGTTATTTAACCAAAATGTGTTCGATTTTCTTTACAATCATTATTGTAAATTTGCTTATGTCATTTCATGTTTGATTTTCTACCTTAATATATTAACTCTTGTGATATTAACAATATAGTTTTATATAAATTTTTTTATAAGTTGTTTGATATTAATTAGATTATTTTTAAGTGAAATCACTAAAATAAATATTCATTATTTATTAGTTAGATATTAGTAAAATTTATTAATCATTTTAAAGATAATATATCGATTACATACATAACTAAATTATAATATATAATTTTGTAGAATTGAGATTGATAAATAAAAAAATTGGTTAAATTTAAGGTTCAAAGTAATTTTGATAAAAAAAATCAATTTTTTAATATAATTTATTTTATAAAAAATATAATATATTTTAATTTTTTATTAATATTATTTACATCAACTTTAAATAATAATTATTTTATTATATTTTAACAATTATCCATCTTATCCTTTTTAATATTTTTTTATTTTAATGATCTTTATCATAATTTAAGATAACCATAACATCAACTTTATTGTTTTTTTTATAGCATAACATTGTTATTCATGAACTTATATTATAAAAATATAACTTTTTAAGATTAAATATTTAAACTATAAATCATATTCAATGACAATATTTTCTAACATAATATCAAAACAATAATAATAATTTCTAACATGACATTAATTGTTGAATCTATAAAACTTTATTCATTATGGGACCTTATTTAACCATTCTTATTCCACACTCTAATAAGATATCATTTAATCCATACCAAGAAGTGTGTTTGAGATCTATAATAACTGAAAATTTGGTCAGAGGTGTAAATCTTTAGAATAGATCTATATATTCATTATTGGATCATCCATTAATATTTAATTTCATATTATTAAGTCAAATTAATATATAACACTGACGTTGATTATGTAGGATTGACTTAAATTTATATCTATCTTTTAATAAATAATATTTTTCAAAAATATTTTATTAATTAACATTTTGATTACCTTTTATTTGTTTTGATCGAAACGTTGAAATGATTTTGAAGAGAATAAAAGAAAAAGAAAAACAAATTGTATTATAATTACTTTGTTTTTTTAAATGTATAATGGTCATATCATATGAGGTTGAAACCTCTATAATTTCATATTTATATGGTAAAACTCCTCGTTATAAAACCCACTTTAACGAGTTTTTAACTTTTCTTTTTTTACCTTAACTCTAAATTTTAAAATTATTTATTTTACTTCATCTTCAATATCATTTTAATATATATATTTAACTTTTAAATTTTGTTTTAGTTTAAAATAGTAAAATTAAATAATTTAAGTGTGAAGGATCCTGAGTTTTTAAGAATTTGGATTTAAAAGAAAAAATTATAAAAAAATTAAAATTAATTTATCTATAAGTTAAATTAGTTTGCTAAAAAAAAAAAAAACTAAGGAAGATAACTGTCAAGTAGAATTATTAAAAAATAAAGTTTGTTACTTGCATTCTATTATTTTCCTTCCAACACAATAACATAAAATTACGAGTAGCTAATTCGTAAACACTACTATATTCGAGAAGTTTTAGTTACACAAATGAATTACTAAAATGTTACGATGTGATTTTGATATTCAAAATAGTAAATGAAACTATACATGAATTTGGAAGTCTAAAATGACGAATATTGCAATTCTTCACTAAATTATTTTGAAACATTTTATCACCTCTCACAAAGTAATTTTCACTATAGAACTTTTCTTTTGTGATTTTTTATGATACATGTAGAGAGATAAAGAAGAAATCCAGCTATTACATGAATAAATATACATATGAATACTTCAATTTTAAAATATATTAAATTTATATTGCATACAAAAATTATAAATAAATAGAATTGCATTTATTTACTAATAAATAAAAGAATCTGTAACAAAATAAATAGTTATTTTGGAGTGTGAACAGACTATGAAAAGGAATCAAATTGTAGTCAACAAAACTATTTGAGAAACTTGGAACCAAGTTTTGCAAACCCACCAAACTTAGTAACTCCCAACTCTTAATTTCAACTATGACTTCTAAGTGTCTAATTAGTGTCTCTGTGTCTCCAAATGATGAAGATAGCAATAATAATAATACTAATTTCAAAAAGTGGACTGCATATATTTAAATATGATTTGTGAGAGTAAGTGAAGAACTTAGAAGCAGGTGAAAAGTGTGAGATAATTGTCGCCAATTAGTGCTTCATTAGGGAGTTTTAAAAACAAAACAATAATAATTAGAGTATGTTTCATCACATTGTTTTATATAAGATAAACAAATTGTAAATAATATTTTAAAAAATTTATGGTTTAAAAAAGTTAAACGATTAATCACAAGCAGAAGATTAAAGCCTATAGAGTGAAGCCATTAGGAAAACCTTTGACTCTGTTTTGGATATCTACCTTCCCTATGGATGCTGAAAGCAACATTTTCATTAGAATTTGGGTGTATGCAATAATACCTAATCCAGTACTTTTTATTTCATTATACCAACACCCCACTAATGCTTTTACGATACTTATTTGAAACCCTGTATCAGTTTCAAATTCCTATGTACGTGCTTTTCAAACAAAAATTCATTCAAATTGAAAAGAAAGTTGTAAACTTTGGATAAGCTTTAGTTTGACTATTTAATATGTTTATTATTTTTTATAAGAATTGTGGGTGTCATTTTTACTTTCATTTTGTAAGACTGTGTAAGAAAAAAAAACAGTCTAAAATCTTAATCTTCTTTGTTATAATATCATTTTTAAGATTTATTATTATATTTTGAACTCTTTTAAAATTTTAATTTATTATTATTTTATTCCTAAAAGTGTTTTTTAAGAAAAGAAAAAATGTAGCACTTACGAGGCCAATAAATATATATTGAAAAATACTAATCTCATGATAAGTGAATCCAAAGATAACACAGTCTTATTTGTCATAACTAATTATAAAATAAAATAATAAACAAATTGATTTGTTCTTTAAAAAAGAGGTAGAATAAAATTAGAAAATGTTAGCTGAAATAGCTATGAATTAGGAAGAAATAAAACTTGTGGTTGGTGGATTCTAAACCATTTTCACAGTCACAGAACAAATTAACTCAAACTATTCCATTTTCTTATTCATTTGTGGGAATACTTTTGAGACAGATTGTATGAATGCTGGCACGTGTTACTGTGTTATCTTGGTCTCTTTTACACTCTTCATATAGAAACAGTAAACAAATACTGTTGTTTATCTATCTAATAAATATATGTATAAAAAAATTGGCTTTAACAAAAGTGAGTAAAATATAAGTTTGATATCCGAGACTTCTAGAAAAAAATGAGATCTTTAAAATAAATTTTATTTTTTAATTTTTAAATTTATACTATATTATGGACAAAATTAATTATTTCAAGACATTGAAATGAAAAATATTTACAAAACAAAAACCAAAATTTCCTTATTTTATATAGAATAAAAATAATAATTTTAAACTTTAAAGATGGAAACAAATTACAAGAATAAAGAATTATTTTGTGAAAACTAGATATGACTTTAAATTATAAACCATTACACCCTTATACAATAACTTTCTATAGAATCTTTACCATATAACTAATAAATAGAAAGTTTCTATCACCTTATTATGTCTAAAACAATATATTCATTTAAAATAATTTGATACATTATTTATATCTGTTAAAGTTAATGTAATATATATAATTTTTAAAATAGATATAAATGCAAATTATCTTATTATCATTTCATTTTTTTTATAATATATAATCATAAGTTAACGATCTGATTGTAAAACTTACAGATATTTTGCTGTTCATGCCGTCCGTGTACTGAACCAAATATCGTCAGATGGAGTAAAAGACAGCAAAAATGCAGGATTCTTTCCAAACATGCGGAGCGAGATGGATATGTTCGTTCTCAGTCTCACTTTCCAACACAAAAGGACCAAAATGTGGGATTGACGTTAATAGGAAGTAAAAACAAACAACTAGTTCACAAATTGAAGCACCACTATGACAACTTATTTTCATTCATTTAAAATAATAATGGATAAATTCAACTGTCTCAAACAAAAAAGACATCATGTAAGATTTCAACACTGCACTATCTATAATCCAAAGATTATATAACATATCGTGATATTCTCTTTCTACTATGGTAAATAAAAACTGGCAAAATGAAGAGGACTTGCGAGCTCTCTATCAATGCCTAATGCCAAAACATTTGATGAGAAGACTAGAATACAAAGTTCTCTTCCTCCGCAGTAGAATTGAGCAATCTATCTCCCATCTCCCTAAGAGCAACAGCTGTGGAATCATTTATACCCAACAGATACTGCAGGCGAGACAAATTCTCAGGAGCTGGACCACTATTCAAATATATGGTGTATAGATCAGCAAGCTCTTCTGGAACTTCCCATGAAACTGTCTGTGAGGGCACTGCTTTGTCGCAAGCCAGCAAGTCATTCAGTGAAGAAACCTGCACAAAAGGCAAGATTGATTTTGAATTAAGTTTTTTTTTTTGTGCAAATTCATTTTAAAGTGAAATGTTTTTATTCTGAAAGCAAGTATTAATAGAATTTAGTATGGAATTTTTTCCATAGGTACCAAAACTGCTAAAAATTGTTCAACTCATCGAGCTTTAGACCCAAAATCCGTCTTTTTGTGAAACCTAGGATGTAAACATCTGTCTAAAATCATGTTAACCTGACATTTCGATATGATTTTCGCATAATCCCCAACAAGAATCCAAACACACTAAGCAAACATGAAACTTTGAATATTACTTACCACTCCCTCGCGATTTCTCTGTCGTAATAGAGAAACTGCCTGAACGAGCGAATTGGATAGTCTACTTTTTGCAAGCTCGTGAACAACCCTTCTCGCTTTCTCTTTGTTAATGTTGAGATCTGATGGGATTCTTTCATATACTTCTTCATCATCAAACTCTCCAGTACCAGATGAGAAAATATCATCGACAGTTTTTTTGAAGACGGTCTCTCTCAAGTTCTCAGATATCATACTGTCTAAATCAACATCGGCTTCCTTGAGTTCTCTTATTTGCTTTATATTGAGCCTCCCTTGAGTGACAGCAGTTTCAATGGCAGCTGCCATTTTTGTAGTGGTTATAGTCTTTATTATTTTCTGAGCATATTCTTGAGGTAAGCCAACTTGCTTCTGGAGGCTACTAAGCTGCTCCACCCTGGCCTTTGTCAACTGTCCATCAGCCAAAATTACCTCAGCTTGTTGCCTAAATGCTTGCTCGGCTAGACCCCTGTGCACTTCCACTATTTCATTACTACTCAATCCCAGGATCCCACCAAGCTGATTTAGAAGAAGATACTCGGAATCATCCTTCTTTGTAGTGATCTGAGCACCAAACGGAACCCTTGTTACTTCACCAGTTAGACAGAAAAGTAAGTATGTCTTGTAAAGATCAGTCCTATCCCTTTCAGGAAGTTCATCTTTAAGTGTAATTTCTGTCTGACCAGGTTTTCCCAACTTTTCCATAAGGTCTTCATTCGGTCTTATTTTCTTGAGTGTCTCAAGTGACTCCCATTCTTCATCCTCACTTTGCATAATGTCCTCTTTTACAGGTTCTTCAGTTGCAATCTCACTTGGCTCCCCTTTAATGTCCTCCACCAACTTAGTTACAACTAAGGTGTTGAAAGCTATCATCTTCTTTAGTTCTTTTGCGGACTCTGTACGATTTCCAGCTGCTCGCGCACGCTTTATGTAATTAATAAATATCTTCCTTACCTGTAATGTCAAAACACAGCACATATTATAGCCTACTCAAATCTTGATAGAAGAGCATTGAGTTTATTGGTAACTTGATACTCACCGCCTTGCTTACAATAGACATAGCAACCTCCCTAGTAAGTCGCAGGCCATGTGCTGTTTTTCTTACTGATTTCTGGATTTCAGCATCATATCCATCAACACCTGATGCAATTGCCTCCTTGACAACCTATCAAAGAATCATGAATTAGTAATAACTCAATAAACTTTTGAACATTCTGACAGAGATTGGAACATATCTCATGATAAACATTACCTAAGCTTGATGCATAAATGCTTAATGAAAAGAACAAACCCATTTCTTCACATCATTGTCATTAACTAAATAATTTAGACTAGTAGCAGTTTGATTAAGATGATAATCAAATCAATAAATAGATTTAATAGTACGTAGATACAGGTGTACAAATTGAAAAGACAGCCTAAATAACAATAGTGTATCTTTCATGTAAAATAAAAATGCTGGAGAGATATAAACATGAATACCCTGAGCCTTTGTTTAGGGTATTATGAAAAGAAAGAAACAGAGTAAGAAAAAGAATATAAAAAGTGGAAATAAATAGATTGTTGGAAGGGTGGAAAAGGATCGAAATATATAAAAAAGTTAATGGGACCATCTTTAAAAGTTTCTTCGCTGCATAGAGATTGTTTGCACCGAAAGTCATTTTATCACTGCACCACAATCGATTCTGCAACATTTAATCGATTATTTTTTTTATTATTTTTGCTACTAGTGCAGGTGCAGCAGAGCAGCCATGACCATAATCTTCAATACCCCATCCTACCTTCTTTTCTTCTATTGTTATTATAAAAATAAAAATAAATCATCTAGAATAATAACAAAATATTTCTTTATCAATAATAATAATAATAATTAGTAGAAATCATTATAATACTTGTTAATAATAAATAAATGAATAAAATAATTTGAAAAAAAATTAAACAATATCAACAAAATAATTTTTATATTTTCTCTAATAAAAATATTTATATTTCCATTCATCTCCCACCTATTTCTTTTCAAGCAAACAACCTCAATTTTTCACTCATTTTCTATTTCTCTTTCTTTTTTCTTCCATTCTCTCTATTTCTTTCCTCACTGCCAAACATATCCTTAATGAAACCCATACATGCCTCCTACAACCAGGGTTCTAAGTAGTGCACTTCAGAGGCATGGCAGTGAGTCAAGACCTGCCAGCTACATGAGCTGCCACAGAATTTACTAGAATGTTTTGTTCAAGACACACTTTTTTTTTTTTATTATTTGGTAATTATGAAGGACCAAGAAATTTGACGGGAAAAAAAAACATCAACTACCTTTTCAAACAAACTTCCACAGATATCTGAATGAGCTGCTTCAACAGTCTGTTGAGGTATGCAGAGCATTACACGCAACCTCAACAATGCAGCAACATCCTCCTCACTAAGCTCCCCATCAGCTACACATTTCTGAAGCTTTTGCCGATAAATTTCTTAAAAATAATAAACTATCATTAGATTGTGTTATAATCAAATAAATATATAATATTAAGAGAAAAATGAAAGGCATTCATGAGAAAGCAGAAACAAAATTGAATATTACATTCCAAGTTTACATTCTTAAGATTTAAGAATTGCACGTAAATATAACCTGACGGAACATAAAGTGTTTAATAATCCAGGCCTGAAATATAATCAACTTCCTGCAAAAATAATAAGTTTTACCTTCATGAAGTTCACTGGCCTTTTGTGGATCAAAATGAAGTTCATCACATAGATTTTGAAGGAAGGCTGCTTTGCTATCTGCCATTTCTAATTCACCATCTGCAGCAGCCTGTGCAAGTCGTTTGCGATATACCTTTGAAGTAAGGTCAAGTGAAATGGCTTCTGCTTCACGTTTACCAAGTCCAAATATATTTCTTAACTGATTTAGTGCAGCAAGCTGAAACAAATAATAAATATATTTAAAATATAATTTTTGTTAAAAAAACAGTGTTCTCAAGGACAAGTTTCATATCTAATATCAATAACAGCTCTTCATAGGGTCGGATAACATGGTTTTAAACACATTGTTGCGTCTTTGTTCATCTGAATGTTTACACAGGAAAGGAACATTAGAGAACATATGTAATTCAAAGGAGAATCTTAGGCTAGTACATAACACTCTTCAAATTAAACTACCTTGTTAGTGTTAAGGAAGGAGCCAGGACATTGTTTTATAATACTAAAATGCTCCATTAACTGAAAATATAGTAGGCTTAAAACAGATAATTTGTACTGAAAATAAAAACTGTCCTTGATGAAATATTTAAACTAAGATTAAGAGCAATAGGGATATGGTATCATGTACTGAACTACCGGTTCAATAATGCTTTGGTACTACATCGAAAAGAAAGATAAAACATAAGAGACGGTAAATGAACATTAAAGCTAGACCTGCTAAGCTTCAAACTCTATTAAACCCGTGGGAAGTGTTGAAGACTATAAGAAAGTATAGATAATCAATACATAATCATACTGTAGCAGTACCATTCATTTTGTCCAAATAGCCACTGAATACTCCCACTTTTAGAAAATACATTATTCAATCAGAAGTCATAAATACATCTGGAAAAGACTAGCCCAAACAAAACTTCAAAATAAATTATTTTATTGATAAAAGACATGATAACAAGTTCACCCTTGATATCCAATTGTCATGGTCATTTACCTTATTATCTTCCATGCGCCCACCAGACAAAGCATCTGAAACATAAGCTCTGTAAAGGAGTTTCAAGTCTTCTATCTTCCTGTCACCATCATACTCACCACCTATGCCAAAAATAAATTGGTGAACATAAAAAATTTAGAATTAAAAAAATAAAAGAAAATACACACAGCTAATAATCACAACACTTACCTACTAAAGAAACTGGACCAACACCACGGGCAAAGCTATCCACATTTGGATGATTCTTAAATGAGATAAGTGAATTATTAAATGCTAATACCCTATCCAGCTCCACAACTGCTTCGCTAACCCCAGGACTGAAAAACTTAAAGATGATCAGATATGGAAAATCCTATTTTTGCAACATTTGTAAAAATTAAGAAATGAATAGTGACTGTAGTGAAAAAAAGAGAAGGAAAACATGTCCAGACTTCAAAATTTAATGTGAAACCATCTTTGCTTCAGCAATTAATGCAAACTGGCGATGAACTAATCCCTCAAAAAATAATATTTTAACACAGAAGAATCATGAATCTTACACTGCTCTGGTGCGAGATTTAAGTATGCCAATTGCCACTGAAATATTTTCCTCAACCAATTTCCTCGCGTGCTCTCTAAACAAGTTCTCAGCAAGCTTCAATGGAAAATTTCCTTTAATTAGTATAAAGATTATACCATACCAAGGACCTATTTGATGGCGAGAGGAAGGGATTTACCCCATAGAAGTTGAAAGTTATGACTTATGAAAGAAGAAATAATGAAAATGAATGAACCTCATCCGAAAGGCGACATAAACGTTGTGCTTCTCTCAGTGAAACAAGTTGTTCTGCATCAATATCTGACAAGATATTATTGGTTAGCACTTAGGAAGCAAACCTGATTTAAAACTTCTAAAAATTGGTATGACAGAATTCATTAATTTGGATAGGAGTAATTCTAGAGAATTACAGAATAAAAACCAGTATATCAGATTAATACAAGCAAAGTTTAAAGGCTTAATTTAGTAAGAAATACATGTTCAACTACAAAAAGGGGGTATGATCTACAGTCATTTCTCCACTGATATACATATGACTATTAAAAGTGTGTAAAACTATCTTCTTTCATTAATGAGCAAAATTTAATAGCATCAAATTGTGACTTAACAGAGTTAGTTGATCAACTTTGTTGCAATAAGAGAAAACAAATGCCAATAGGAATTACTGACTACACAATTACCTCTGCCAACTGATTTCAGCTTGGAAGCATACAAACGTTGCGCATTGTCCCGTATAGCAACTTCAATCTGGTAAATAGATTATAGCCAACTAGTCAAATGAAAATAACAAAAAAGAAACACTATGACAGAAAGAATGAAAATGACTAGATATAAAAAATTAAGAAATGTGATCACGTTCATGCCAGCGTCCCACTGTTCACAAACATGGCAGAATGCATTTTATGCAAGAAATTTCCCTTCTCAAAAAAATGCCCGAAGACAACTATAAACCAATGCTTCAAATCTCTTATTCCAATTGCATAATAATATTTCATCGCACAAGCCAGCATATCATAACCAAATAAGTAACAAATACCTGGGAATCAGTGACCTTGAACACACGCTTCCAAGGTAAAAGGAAAGACGATGCATCTCCAAATACAAGATTTGACACATATATCAACTTTTGAAACGCCTGCACTGAAGACTCTAACAATGGTCAAGCGCCAAGTATCCACTATTCATCTAAACCCATGATGGTATAATGGTATTGCCACCGACGGGTTAACATAACATTATAACACAACAAACTTACCCGGCGTTGCTCAACATCAGCTTCACGATCCCCAACTTCCAGCCTTTGCCTGAAAATTTTCCTCCCAATCTAGGGAGTAAACACTCACCAAACCAATAAGACACAGACTGCTTTCACTCTCACAATAAACACACTCAATCTCCACAGGTGTACATAAAATAAACACAAAAATACCTCCATATGCATAGCAGCAGCATCCGGGTCATCAATTCCCAAAGAATTTTTGAAAGCAACAATCCTATCAACCTCGTCACCTTTAAGTCCCTCTCCACCAGGAGGAAGCACAGAAGAGACAAACCTGAACAACACGTTATAAACAAATTAATCATTCAGTGAAAAATTTAAACAGCCAAATATTACAACTTAATACCACAACACATACAAGTAACAAATATAACTCATTACACCTACAGAAACAACAACAGTAATAATTTATCACTCTCTCCGAATATATCACCAATGTCAGCTTTAAAAATAAGAACCACACTAGTTTGCCACTCTCTCCGAATATATCACCAATTTCAGCTTTAATAATAACAACCAAACTAATGTTTCACTCACTCAGAATATATATCACAAATTTCAGCTTTGAATGCCTCGTCTTGCTTGCTCACACCATACCTGAAAAATCAATCAATTCAAAATCAACCACTCTAGCAGCAACAATATTACCGAAGAAGAAACCAACGGTCATTATTAGAAATTGAAACTAACTTCGACGCAATGGCCTCAATCTCTTCCTTCTTCAACTTCGAAGGGTCGTCAAACGCGGCGACGTAGTTGTGCAAATTAACTGCGGCTACTTGCGGAGCCGACGCGTTGAGAGCGTACGCCGCAGCGCCGCCAGCGGCGCCGAGAGCGACAGCTCCACCAAGCGCGGCATAGCGGTTACTGGCGAAGCGGGAGCCGAGGCCATACCCGGCGGCCACGGCGCCAGCGACGATGACGGCGGAGGTGGCGAGCCTGGCGGGCGGTGAGAGCTTGTCGACGAGGACCTCGATTCCCTTGAGGTCCTTGGGCGGTCGCTGCTGCGGCGGAGGAGGAGGCGGAGTGGAGGCGGCGCCAGAGGAACAGCGAGGGAGGGAGACTCTGAAACGACGGCGTCTGGAATGGAAGGGAGAGGGTAAGAGGAGGGGGCGTTGGGTGTGCGAAGAGGTGAGGGTGGAGGGGTTCATGGTTGTTCCGTCTTAACGACGTCGTAAGGTAGCTAGAGTGGAGTGGTGATTGTAGGGTTTAACGAAAAGAGGGAGGAGAAGAGAGGGAAGATAGAAAAGGAGGTAGAATGTTTTGTAGATAACGTCCCTATCGGGTTGGGTTGGGTTGGGTTGGGCTATTCCTCCTTTATTATGTTATTACCTTTGAAATTTTCATAGCTTGTGCCCCTGTATTTAGAAATACGACTACCATGAAAGATTATAATACTGTTGGCTCAATGTTATATTTTTTTTAATAAATTTGAACTAATACAAAAGAATATATTCATAAAAGTTGTATAGAAATTAAAAAAAAAATTATTATTAGTATTACATAGCATTTAGTTGAGATCATGAAAATTTAGACTTAAATGGACGAGTTTGACATTGATGATGTATGTAATCATAGATAAACTTGTGTTTCAAACCAACAGTGAAAGCTTAATGTTTAATTAAAAGAGGAGCTTTCCATAGTTCAAAATGAATTTTGGTGACATCACTTTGACATGTCTAATGTTTTCTGGTAGTTAAAAGAGAATTGAATGCATGAGATGCACGGAAATAAACATCTTTAAAGCTATCGAACCAGATGAGTTTGAAGGCTTAATTCAAGACTAATGAAAAATTGAAAAGGATTTTTGTAAAAGAAGGGATTATATTTGTTAGAAGATTTTGATCTGTTAGGTGTATTACAATGTCATTTTTTTATCTAAACTACAATACAATTATTAGCTGGGTCTTATCGATCTAATTTTGTTCTCTCTCAACAAAGTGGGATAATAGTGTAGTAGTGGTCAATTAATTAGGCCATGCATTTAATCTGACTTTTTGTCATGTGATTGGAAAAAGTGACTAATTATACAATATTGTTGGATGTTGTTCATAATCTACTCTGAGGTGTAGAGTGCGAAGATGGCTACTTGGTGTTTGCGAGTGCCATTGTTTCCTTTCCTCAGGAAAGCTCCCTGTACTCTACCACCCGCTTTTGGGAAGAGTGAAGGAAGGACACGGTTCCACTGTTGTTGGTGTTCTACTTCTTCATGGCAACCTTATCGTAAAAAAAAGATTGTTATGCGCGTCGCATATGTTGGCACCAATTACCGAGGTACCCATTTCCCATCATACCCTGTTCATCTTCTCTTTGTTCAAAGCACCTACACTTTCGTACAAAGATGCCCTTTTATCTCTTGTTTGTTTGTTTATTTGTTTGTTTTTCACTCTTCATTCAGGTCTCCAAATGCAACACGATGAACATTTTCTCCCTAGTACGCTTCTTTGGCTTGTGCTAACTGCTCTATGCATATGGGGTTCTAAAGAGACAGAACAATACTTCAGCAATTGTTTTTTGAGTTTAAGATGTTTGTAGAAATGCTCTACCTGTGGAGGGAATGAAATTTATTTATAAATTAGCTTTTTTTTTTTTTTTTAATTTGAATGATTTAGTGGAAATTTAGTAAAAATTGGTTACTTAAGTATTTAGTATTTGGGAAACAGTGTGCTTGGTGCCAATGCATAAGTGGACTAGCAGGTATTGTCTGTTCCATGACTACTAATAATAAAATATTACTGTTTACGCACTCTACTACAAAATCATTAATAAAAACTCATACAATTTTGTGATTTTCAATAAACTATAGCTAATAATAAAGGACATGCTAGAGTAAGTTAAAGAGTGTGTTATTAGCATTTCTTTTTTATCTGTTCTGGGTGTATATTTTAAATTTGTAGAGTACATGTGTGGTTTAATATACCCAACTAGTTTGGATAGACCGTTTGTGAAGTGTTGTGATTTAAAAAAATTGTAGCTATTGAGAAAGAACTAGAAACTGCCGTATTCAAGGCTGGTGGCATTTGCGAAAGTAATTTTGGGGATCTTCAGAAGATTAGATGGTCTAGAAGCAGCCGGACTGACAAAGGAGTAACTTGTGAACCGCCATATTGATTTGTGTGTTTACTATTCTGATTTTGGTGCATATGTAGTCTGCGTTTTCGCTTATTCTTTTCTATTTGGTGCTGTCTATATATTAGGTTCACTCTCTTGCAACAATCGTATCCTTTAAAATGGAAATCCCGGAAAATGCATGGAATGGAGACCCTTATGGATTTGCCCTTGCAAATTATGTTAACTCTTATCTTCCCTGTGATATTAATGTTTTAAGCATTTTGCCCTCACAAAGGTAAGGCTTGGAATGGGTCTCACTATTCAGTATTTTATAATGTGGAGTTATCTCTGAACTGATATCTTGAAAATTTCATATGATGATAATGTACGTTATGTTTATATTTCAAATTTTAATGGAAGACTTCTAAGGTCCTGTTGCTCTTTGGTCTTGTTCTCTAATTATTTGATTTATGTCTTGGACCTAGGAGCTTTGATTCCAGGAAGGAATGTGTTTTGCGGAAGTACTCCTACCTGCTTCCTGCTGAAATTATTGGTATTCAAAACCATTCCAGCAATGATGACATTGATGACCACATATCAGAGTTCCATGATATTCTTAATGTATTTAAGGTGTGGTATTAGTCTCCCTTTCCCCCCTTATCTGTTACAATAAAAGCCTCCATTTATTTTGGTTCATAATTACTAATTGTTACTCCATCTGTTTCCTTTTAAGTGTAGTTTATTTTTATTTTTAGAAATCAAGAAGTGAAATAGACGTTCTTAAACTTAATAGGATAATTATAAGATTTTCTATTTTACTCTTTTCATTTTTACATCACAACAAATGTATATCTGCAAAAAGATTAGGTGAAAAGTAAGTGTATATGAATGACAGAAAAGAGTAACTAGCATTTCTTGAACTTTAACCATGACAGTTAAATATAAACAAAAATCTTTCAAAAAAATTGTTTAGTTAAAAGGAAATAAAAAGAAATCAAAGAGTAGTTATAAACATTTTTTCCCAGTTATTAGTTAATTTCTGATACATTTATTAATGTACCACACTATTGTGTCCTTACCAAAAATTTTGTATGGACCCAACAGTCAATTTAAAAGCGTAACATAAACAAGACATTGACTAATTCTTCCTATTTCTGGTATCAGTTTAAGTAGATGATTTTTAGTTGGGACATGATGTTGGATGACTACGTATTTCCAGAAAGTGCAAGAAATTTTAGATTTATGACCAAATTAGGGTCAGGTTTTCTGATATTTTATGTTATTTCTCTGGTGTTTATGGACATGATTAACTGAAGTATATTGACATTTGTCATGTTAGTCAGTTACTATCTGTGATTGTCTTTCATAGGGGCAACATCCTTTCCATAACTATACGGCTAGGTCCAAGTACAGGAAAAAGTTTCCTAATAGGCAATCGTCAACAAAAAGTGGTGCATCAGCGAGCGAGAGGTTGCCATCATATGAGTCTGAATATGAATCCAGTGATGGGGAAGAAAAACTTGAAATTGACGAGGCGTTTACAGAAAACATAGATTGGCAAAAGTGTTCACAAACTTATCATTTTAGTGAACCTGTTGTTGGCTCTAGCTATGAGAACGGAAATAGCTTGCATGGCCAAGACTCTAGATTGGTTGCTCGTGCTAGATGGTTATATGAACCTCATGAAGCAGATAGATTAAGTGCTTCCCATTTCAGAAAAGTTTTTCAGTGTTCCTGTGGAAAGCTGGAAACATCACAGGGATATAATTACATAGAGATATCCATACAGGGAGAGTCCTTCATGTTGCACCAGGTATTTCTTTTTCTTTACCCCATTAATTTTTTTTATCCTTAGAGAATACTCCAGAATTAAGGTACACATGCATAGACACTAGTATGCATTTTTGTTGTAAACCTTTTATGTATTAATTATATTGATATTAGTGAAAATTCTGGATAACTTAGCCCCCTTTGATCCAAATAATTTATCACCACAGTATATAATCAAGTTAAATTTATTTTCTTGTTGAAAATTTGTATGATGATATTTGATTGCTTAATATGAAAGCTGATATTCTGACAACTGTTGAATTAACATATACTATTGCAATAAACCTACCTTTTCATTTGTTACAATACCTGATTATTCAGTAATGATTATATTTTACAAAACTAACCTCTATTTTCATGTTCTAATCATGTCCTGATCTGTCAAACCTTAAAATTAGGTTATGGCCATTCACTGTCATTTTGTTTACTTCTTTGGGATTGAATTAAATTGGTTCATATATTCTGTTCCTTGTGATACTCTCACCAGATAAGAAAAATGGTTGGGACAGCAGTGGCAGTAAAACGCAAGGTACTGCCAAAAGATATTATAAAGCTATCACTGGCAAGGTTCTCCCGAATTATACTACCCCTTGCACCTTCAGAAGTTCTAATATTAAGGGGAAACAGATTCTCAATAAGAACACAACCAGGAAATGTGACAAGGCCTGAAATGCAGACTATAGTTGAATCAGAAGAAATTAACAAGGCAGTGGACAACTTTTACACATCGGTTATGCTACCTCAAGTTTCAAAATTTTTGGACCCATCGAAATCTCTTTGGGAAGAATGGATTGAGAAACTGGATGCTCACACGAGCATACCAAATGATCAGTTGGATGAGGTCAGGAAGGCTTGGAGTTTGTCAAAAGAAAATCTTGAAAGTAGAACTAGCACTCATCTGTTATAAGTAAAGGAAAAGAGGTGGTGACTGTCCTTTCTATTCTGAATTTGGTTGCTTACGGCGTTATTAAAGTTTCCATTGACTAGCACCTGCATTTTTTTTAGTCTGCACTTTCTACTAGGTGAAGAAGGAATTCATTCATACTTAATGTCTTCTTTAAGTAATGATCATATATTAGCACTATAAATCATGTAACGGGAAATCTATATTCAATTTCCACCATATGTTAAAACTTGTTGAGTCACTGATAGTCACTCTATACATTATTTATTATATTTATAGTTGTATTGAAACTATATGTAAATAGAATAATAAATTAATCATATATTTTAAAGTTATTTATTTATTTTTATATTAAAATAATGTTTTCTCAAAAGTATGTTTTAGTAACAGGATAACTGGTAGCAAACCAAACCTTTTAAAAAAAAAAGTTATATTATATATATAAAAGTATAATTGTTACAAGGTACCAAACCTACATAAAATAAAGTATTTATATAAAACTATATAGTGCAGTAAAGAAAAAACATTGCAGAATAGCAGTATGCACAGGTGCTGCATAATTAGCCAAAAGTACCCAATTACTTGATGTCAGTTTATCAATAATTTGTTATATTAAGGGATTTAAATTTATTAAGAGTAATCTGTTATGAGTTGCTCAATCTTAATTATCTTGGACATCTTCTTTATTATTCTGTTTTGATTTGTGATATGTTTTATTGTAAATCAGGATATATTCAGTTTTGTAATGAATAGAAAATACAACCCAATATTTTCAATTCATATCATTCCTTGCTCATAAGTCTAACATACCCCTCTATTGGTCTCTCAATCCATTGCACTATTCATGAAAAATCCCAAATTTACCAAGTATTCCATACTATAAATTGCCCCACCTAAATTTTCATCAAACACTTACCTTACCTCAATAAAGATGTAATCGATGTAGATATTTGTGTTTCTTAACAAAGTGATTCAACAATTGAATCTTGAAGGTATCACATCAAATATAAAATAAATATATTAAGGTAAAAAAAATTATAAAGACCTTCCACTTTGACAAATAATTTTGAGTTTTAAAAATGAATTTATGAAGTTACTAAAATATTTGTAGTAATGCTAAATGTACAATCTATTACTAATATTAATTTAAACATTCATCAATACCCATATATAATGAAAATATAATTTTTTGGTCTATATAATTTTGTTTTCATTCGCACAATTTAATAAATATTATTTTTTATGAGAATTCACTATTTATAATAATACAGATTTTTTTGCTAGGCAATTTTTTTAAGACAATAAGAATAAGTAACCAAATTTATTCAACGATACAAACCCAACTAAATAGTTTCAAACAGTTGATACACCTACTAATTATTTTATTAATTAAACCAAAATTAGAAGTAGACTGAAAGAAAAAGTTCGATAATTGTACTATTTAACATGAGCGTACCAAGAACACGTTATGTTGGCCTGCATAATACAATAGGTAGAGTTGAAAGAAGGTTTCGAAAATGATGAGTAACTGTGTTTCTTCTTCGCCTGCCCTTCTTTCAATTCCAACTCGTGTAAGAGAACGCAAAATATCCACTTTGGTAGCAATGCTATTCCCTTTTTCGCTGCCATTTCTGCCTCTGCCTCCTACTCTCTTCAATTGCTTTTGCTCCTCCACTCACTCTGTTCCAACCCCTTCTCACAAATGGGAACCTTTCCTCAAGAAAAAGGTTGTAATGAGAGTTGGATATGTTGGAACTGATTTTAGAGGTCAAACCCCACCCTTTTCGTTTTTCTTTCAAATTTCATTTATTGTTTTGAAAATCGTCTAATTTGATTTCATGGGGTAATTTACAGGCCTGCAGATACAACGGGATGAACACACATTATCCAGTAAGACTGTTTTTCTCTATTATATTGTTGGTTATAGTTGAAAATGTCCAATTAGAATGTTAATTGTTTGAAATTTGAAGATGGATGTGGTCCTGTGATGTAGGCAAGTGTTTTTGGAATTTGGAATCATGTGGTGTTATGAACATAATCTAATAGGTACTGTGGTGAAATTCTAATGTGTGTTTGTCATTTTAATTTTTTATGTTCTGTTTCCAAATGAACCAAGTTTGATTCTTTAAAGTAAACTCTGACTACTGGCATACACATAACTCAGCCTAGCCCTTGTGAATCGATGAAATGTTGCTAAAGCATTAGAATTTTGACATGATGTAGCAATTGAGAAAGAACTGGAAACTGCGATTTTCACGGCCGGTGGCATGCGTGATAGTAATTTTGGGGACTTGAACAAAGTCAAATGGGGCCGGAGTAGCAGAACTGATAAAGGAGTGAGTAACCTTCTTGAAGTTCTTGTTATTCCTTTTATGAATTGTTTTGGTTGTTGTTCTTGTGTTTTTACATATCTTCATTTTTTTTTTTTCCACTTCTATGATGTGCTTGTTTAGGTCCACTCTCTGGCAACAATGATATCCTTTAAGATGGAAATCCCCGAGAATGCATGGAAAGATGATGACTATGGCATTGCGCTAGCAAACCGCATTAACTCTCATCTTCCTAATACTATCAGAGTTTTTAGCATTCTGCCTTCAACGAAGTAAGATAGTCTCTGGTTGGTTATATATAAATTGTAATACTTGATTTCTTGTGGTTGTTCATTATTGAATTTCTCTTCTCATATATTGATTGGTAATGCATGCATACATGTAATTCGATAGACTATGTGTGATTTTTTTTCCTGCATCTCTTTATTTGTCCATTCGTAATACATATTTGATAAGAGATGCTAGTACCCTAACATTTGTCACTTGGAAATTGGTGATGTTAATATAGAAAAATTAATTTAGAGTTGACTACTCAACTAAGATGGGTAAGGGTATATGAGCTCTTATTTCAGAGCCCAATATGCATTGTAGCAAGTACCTGTGAAAAATCTATATGTCTGCCTCCAATCAGTATGATAATTGAAAGCTCCAATTTCTTTCACAAACCATGCAAGTGTTATACAAATGCCTGTATGCTCAATTATGTATAACAATATTCAGATTAAAAATGTCCTGCATGGGATTATTAACAACAACCAAAGCCTTTTCCCCACTATGTGGGGATAGAACTGACCCGTGGAATGATGCACAAAAACACATGCATAAAGAAAAAATAAAATTCTTTTGGACTATTGGTATGACTTACGTTTTTTAAGATGACTAACAAATTGAAAGTGTTCATTGATTTTTAATTACTGCTATCTTACTGATATTTATAACTTCATAGTTTTGACTTATTTTAGGAGATTTGATCCTAGAAGGGAATGCAATTTGCGGAAATATTCTTATCTCCTCCCTGCTGACATAATAGGAATCCAGAGTGATTTAAGCAAGGATGAAATTGATTTTCACATTTCTGAGTTCAACAGTATACTTAATGTTTTCGAGGTATACTTCATTTATATTTTGTTTAGTTGCTGATGTGGAATACATATGTAAAACTTAATATTAAAAAATAATGAAAATCAATTTTAATAACTAGCGGTCAATTAACGGCCTGGAGTTGGGGGTGTCAATAATAATTTAACATGTATAATTATAACAAACCTCAAACTTCAAACCTCGGGGAGTGTTATTATAATTGGCTCTCTAATTTTACAAACAGCTATTTATTTACTTTATGCATTCGTTGATGTTATTATTGCAGGGAGAGCATCCTTTCCATAATTATACTGTTCGGTCTAAGTACAGGAAAAAATACCAAGTAAGGCAATCATCCAGAAATGTTGTCATGTCAGACAGAATAGGATCATCTAGTTCTGCATCAGCTTATGAATCAGAGGGTGAGGAAAGTGATGATGATGATGATTTTGTGGGTGGCAGACCAACCACATTAAGTAAGGAGGAGAGCCACAAGTCTCCTGAGTCTAGGAAATCCAATGGCTTGAGTATTCAAAGCTCTAGTGTTGTAGTTCGTGCAAGATGGCTACACGAACCAGATGAGACAGATAGATTAAATGCTTCCCATTTCAGAAATGTTTTTCGTTGTTCTTGTGGGAAGTTAGAAACATCGTTGGGATATGATTATGTAGAGATCCAAATATGGGGGGATTCCTTCATGTTACATCAAGTAAGTCTTGGTTGATTTTGACTCTTAAGAGTTTAATTTGACACACTATTAATATAAAACTTAAATACATGACTAGTGGTCCTTTGTGACCATTCACAACCTTAATTTTTGCATGCCTATAGGTCATAATTCAAATATGACATGTCTCTTCATTCTTGGAATTTGAATAGTGGTCCTTTATGACTTCAACATTGATCTTTCTTAACATCGCACTGCTGTGTATTTGCTGCATTCACACATTCTTCTCTTGACATATTTAGTTTCTGATGGTCTGTTCAACGTTGGGCATCTAAACACTGTAAAGGGATGTACATTGAAATATAGCTTTTTGCACTTCTTCATTCTACTCATTAAATGCACTCATTATTTTACATTAACCTTAATCGAACAATCACACTGACTGAATGACTAATCAGATACGCAAAATGGTTGGGACTGCAGTGGCGGTAAAGCGCAAGTTAATTCCAAAAGACATCATTTTGTTGTCTCTCAACAAGTTTGCACGGATTGTCCTCCCGCTTGCTCCACCAGAAGTTCTGGTTTTGAGAGGAAATGCTTTCAAAATGAGATCAAGGGCTGGAAACTTCATACGGCAAGAAATGGTGTCTATGGTTGAATCAGAACAAATTCTTAAAGCAGTGGATGACTTCTACACGTGTGTTGTGTTGCCTGAAGTGTCGAAGTTCCTAGACTCATCAAACTCTCCTTGGAAAAAATGGATTGAGAATTTGGATAAGTATTCAAGCATTCCAGATGGTGAGTTGGATGAAGTCAGAAAGGCTTGGAAGACATGGAAGGAAAATTTCAGGGTAAAGTCAGCATCAGATGCATAGTGAATGCCTACAAATTGAATCATGGTATACTTGTCCTATTTGTAGCCACGTTTTGTCTGTTTTTCTCTGTGGGCCAACTGCATTTTCTTTTCTTGTTCTGCTTGCTTGATCATAGGGAATTCTTATCATTTTCCAAGATGTAGTGGGTGGAATGAAAACCATGCTACATTTAGTCTAGTCAATTGAACACAGCTGCATGTCAAGCTGTCTAGATAATGAAGTTTTTGTTGTCAATTGCTAAATGCTAACTAATTTCCTCTTCTATTTCTATGGTATGAAATTGGAGACTATATGCATGGTTGGCATGACGATGCACCACTCCATTGCTCTCAAGAAAGGTATGGCTGATTCTAACTTTCCAGTTTCCACCATATGTTAGATGCGCAGACTATAAGAGATATATGGAATTTGAATCATTCAAAATAAGGTTAAATGAGGATGTTATCAGATAAATTTCGTGAAAATTGCAAAGAAAAGGAGGCAATAACTAGTTTCTTTTGGTCCCAGTTATATTCAATATAAATTAGTCCTTTCTGGGAGTACCAAAGTTTCCCCGTTGCATAAGAATACCATTTTGAGTATATGAACTTTGAAGTACTCAACACCGTCATTGCAAAGGGTTCTCAGCTATGCTCAAACTTACCATTTCGGATACGTACCTCTTGCAGGACCAATTGTGGATGAGAATAGGTTAGGCAATCTATTGGATGCCTACAGGTTATACTGCTATAGCCTCTCATGATATTTTACATCTTCTAAAATATTTAATATCGTTGCATGCCTAAAATTTAAACTTGAGAAAACTTGTCAAATAACTAGTTGATCTACATTCTATTACCAGTATTTGTAAATATAATTGGAAGAATTTAGTCATCATACTCAAAATCTCCACCTATGTGAATGGATGGAAAGAAATAGAAAATGTGAATCAAGGTTGAAAATGGATGGATAGAAATAGAATATGTAAATCAAAATAAGTATCAAATAGAATGAAAATAAAACTTTTAGTTTAAGAAAAATATTGAAAAAAAGTGAATGAAGATGTATAGGAAAGTAACATAAAAAAATACTGGATTTTACATCTTTTTATTTGTCTCATTTTTTTATCAAACACTCACGATTTTATTTTCACCTATCTCCTTTCCACCTTATTTTTCCTTCACCAAACCAAGAGTTCATCTTTTCCCAAGGAGTATTACGAACTGTAGGTTCTAAAATTTCATAAATTTATAATTTTTTTTTTTTGTTTAGATGGTTATAGGACAATCAGTATATATATGTAAACAGCAATGAACTAAGATTTCTTTTAGTTGCTCCTGCTGTCAGAGTAGGACAAGTAAACTAAAGGAAACAGAGACTTAGAAAAATAGTTGAAAATACAACCATTCATCTCATTTTGGTTGAGAAACCATATGGCTTGCTGTTTGGTGCGTACGTATCATCCATGGAACATGTTTTATATCCCAAACAAGCTGTGTAGTCAGCTTTGAAACAAGATAATTCTGTCCCATTAACTTCGCAAATAATCCAACCATTAAATTACTGCTAATAATACAATTTCTTGAAGGCTAGTTTAATCATAACATGTAACTAATATTCATGCACTAAAATAGTTTTAACTTTGTTTCAAACCCAGGGATTTTCAATATTTACTGCAGCACTCGTAATTAATTAACAGAAGGTATTATTATTACACGCAACTAGAAAGATAAAAGTATATTGAACATACGTAGCTAAAGAGAGACATTGGAGTCTATGCTTATTTCTGGTGATCCCTAGCAGAAAAGGTCTAGAAGAAAAGAGATAGTACTACATATATAAGAACCAAACTTTTTATTTAAGCTTATCTTGAAATTCTTCATGGGCTTGAAGCAGAGACCTTGCGTGGCAGTTGAGGGGGTGCTTCTGGCACCTTCAAGTCACCACTTGAAGGAGGAGCTGGTGCACTGTCACAAAATAACCCATCTCATTATAACCATGAACTTAGTCATTTATGGTTGAGCAAAATTATAGATATAAGCTTATTTCTAATTCTTGTAGGATTTGATAAAGAGTAAACCCTGTTTTAGTTTCTGAATCTGTGAGATACTGTCATTAATCTCTGAGATTAGAAAAATATCAAATAAATCTCTGAAATTGAAATCTTTCAATCAGAATAGTTTCCTACTGTTATATCTGTAATTATATATTTGAAATGACAGTAATTTTAACTTTAAGAAGATTATGACAATGTCTTACAGATTCATAAACTAAACGGAGAGTTTACTTGATTGTAAGAAGAGTTGTTGAGAAAAGTAATTACTTGGGAGCAACAGAGGGACTGATGAGAAGCATAGCCATGCAGAACAGGCATTGAAGAAACCAAAAGAATTTCATGTTTGTGTTTCTGTGAGGATGTGACAATGTATGAAGGCAACACTGGCATGGGATGGATGGATTTCTATATAATCACACATTTCTGGTTTTCCTGGCTAGCTAGGATGACTTGTCTTGATAATCACAGCAAGTCAAAGTAAATTAAAATTGATGAATTTGAACCAAATTAATTACAACTTGTTGTCTCGTTCAATTATTGTATTTATCCTTTTCAATTCAAACTAATTCCATCACTACGTCAGATTTAATGTTTAAATTTGTACAATTTACACTTCAGTTTTTAAGTTTTTTTTTTTTTTCTATTTTTGTCCCTTCCTTCACCCACTTTGTGCGTATTTGCTGTTATTTTTTCAGTGTCTTCGGCCAAACGAACAATTATGTCAGTATAAAAAATATTATCAATAACACAAATTTAATGCTTAGAATTGACTTCTGTGTTATTATTGGAGCATAAGGACTTTTTTTAATTTGTACTGATATAGATTTCAAAATTTTCTACAAAAAAAAAATATATATATTAATGTGTAAGATAAAAAAAACTATACAATATAATAAATTAATTTTTTTTATCTTCATTAATTCAATAACTCAATCCAAATTATACCAATCAAAATTGAGTTGATTTGATTCAAAACCAATTAAACAATTCTGAAAAAGGAAACTGATCTCATTTAAATATAGCTAATTTGTTTTTTATTTTAGATAGTGATGAAAAAACTAACATGGTAATATAAAAAAAAAAAGTTTTTCTTGGTTTATTTTATAAGAATAAAATTATTTAAACGTTGGTAACAGCTGGTTTGCATATTATTTGAATGAGGAAATCAATGAAAGTGGAATTTGGAAGTCATGGGAATGGTTGAGTGCAGAGAAGAAGCGTTAAAGTGGGGTTAAAGGTCCTTCAAAATTCAAACAACACAATTTGCTTTATTCGTTGTTCCTTTTGTGATTGGAAACCTTCTCCATTCATTAACACTGAAATAAGTTGAGATTTTACCATAATATGAAAATAATTAATTTTAATTTATGGAAAAAAAAAAATATATATATATATATATATATATATATTATAAACAAATTAATAATTTAAAATAGATTTTTAATATTAATTCACACCACCAAATCTCATCATATCAAGGATAAACATGATATTTAATTTCATTTGGTAGGAACCAACTCAACTACCACTTTTCTATGCTAAATTGAAAAAAAAAAAATTGTTCTATTTCTGAGTTTTTCTACGTTAGTAATCATATAACATGCTTTGGAGAATAAACTACTCACCCCACCACTATTTATCCTCACTAGAACATAGTCAATGGTTTCGAGTTTTTATTATTATTCCTAAATTTCCCTTATCTTTCTTATTAAATTTATAAAATTCCCAATAAATTTAGCATACATAACACAAATAATCTTTATAAAAATAAGTCTGGGCAATGAACTAGAGAGTTTAACAAGATATTTGCAGTTGCTATTAGAGATGGGTATGTGCGACTTACAACTTCACTTATAACATCTATTTATTAAAAAAAAGTCAAATTTAGATTTTAAAAGAGTTTTTTCGTTATAAAAGGTCATATATAAGCTTTACAAAAATCTCTATTAAATAATATTTTTTTTATTAAATAACTAATATAATTTTTAACATTAAATTATCATTATTGAGAGTAGCTAATAGAATTATATTTTAAAAGAAGAATACACATGTTCAATCATTTTAATTGAAATATTTTTCTTATTTGTCACTTTTATATTAATTTTTTATTATTTTATTTATTTTAATATATTAATAGTTATAAAAAATAATATATATGATGAATATATCTGTTTTTATAAAAATTTTGTAATAATAAATAGGTAAAACAAGTTGGTTTGAATAAATATGAATTTGGTATCTATTAATTTCAACTGTGCTAAATATTAAAGAAAAAAATTCACCTAAAAACAGTACAGTATTTTAGTCGGTAATAATAATAATCAAAATGTCTCTAAATTAGAATTATATTATTTGTAAATAATAACACGGTCTTATTTATAATTCTTTTACTGGAATATTTTAGATATTATTTAATATTAATTATAATCAAATAACCAGTAATTATGGATTATATAACGTATTTATAAATAATTCTGTAAAGAGACTTTGAAGTCACACTATAATTGTTAGATAACTATTTAAACTCCTGCTTTAATTAATACATGATAAATTTAAATCATTTTTAATTTTTTTTATAAATTTATGCATTTTACGCATGATTCTCAATAACTCTTTTTTTTATTTTGTTCTTTAATAAAAAAAATGATTTTATTTTGATCCTTAATATTTATTGGAATTTATTAAGTCATTACCTGTCTGTTACAAATTACATGTTAGTGAATGAATAAGACTGATATGTATATTTTTTTAGCTTTTAATTATATTTTGTTTTCGATCCTTAATATATTTTCATTTTCATTTAATACGTACAGTTTTTTTTTTTAATTCTTGTTGTTTATTGACATCTCTTAAATAATGGGTTGTCTGTTTTTTAAAGAAAAAAAATTAATAATACAATGGAAATACGGTCGTTTTTTTTCCTGGTAGAATTTGTATTTTTTTTTTCAGTTTTCTTTATTTAACAATCAAAGAAAATGAAAATTAATATGTATAAGATTTTTTTTTCAAGATCTTTCATCTTCATCATCAAATGGAATATTGAAAAAAAAGGTGTTATAGAAATATACATGTGATATATTTTTAACTACGACTATTTAATGAAGGATAAAAGTTTTATGAAGGATAAAACGAAAAAAAAAATTATGGAGGAAAAAAATGAAACTTTTTTACAACACCTTTGTCAAACTCAACAAATTAATTGAAAACAAAAATAAATGATGCGCTGTAAATGATAATCCATTCCAAAGATTGGTCACCATATTGCCACAATATATATATACCACACACATCTAATCAGCAGATTGGGCTAATGCAAACACTCCAACCCATTTGAAGGATGAAACAATAAAATCAACTGAAAAACAATGAAAAGAAAACTTGTTCTTATTATAGGACACGTTCATTGCTGGATCAACATTGCTTCGTAACTTCCCTCCAATTTTGTATAGCTTGAGACACAACTTGCTCAATTCCTTCTACATCCACATGGAGGGTATTGTTCTCCTGAAAGACCAACAAAGAATCCATTGGGTCACTGATTTCATCCAAATTCAGGTCACGTTATAGTGTTAATAATTTTTTCCTCACATGTTTTCTTTTGAAAACCATTCTGCTCGAGACATCATCGGAGTTAGACTCATGTTACAGAATTGCATGCATTTTATTTTCTGTTTGAAATGTGGTTTTGTTTGCATGTTTGTTTCAGCTTATTAGTATTACTTACTTTGATTCCAAATGCTTCTAAACAGAAGCTCTCCACGCATGAAGCCCTAGCTTGAAGCACCTCAAGACCAAGCCTTTCAAAGGCTTCCAATATGAATGCCAACAGCCCCTGGCAATTCCTTTCACTCACCACTTTGATCATAAACCCCTCCTCTTGAGTTTCCACTTTAAGCTGCAAAAGCATTAGCAAGCATAAAGCAATTAAACAAAGTAGGTGAAAAGGGGTATTCATATAAGACAAAATACTCCTTTAAATTCAATGATTACTTATTACTACACAGGTCTCGGGGTTCTTAATTAAATCATACCAAAGGCGTTGGACCATTATCGATCACATCCTGGGCTGCAGCAACTGCTAGCTGGTTCAATTCTTCCAACTTTTGCTTTAAACCTCGTATGTACTCCGACGCATCCTGTATCACACAGGTTTTACGCCGCTGCATGAACAAGCAAAACAATCCATCATACTTCAACATAAACCTCAACCAGTTCTTGAACAATATGGATTTTATTCCGAGAAAAATGAAGCAAGAAACAAAGTAGAATAAGAGTTGATTGTGGTTTTATGTGGAGAAGTTTTTACTAAAAGGGATGAGTACTATATCAGATAATCAAAGGGAGAAAAGAGAAATCAGTAGTTAATCACCGCATGGGAGTTAGTGATTGAACGAAGCTTTTGTATACTCCTATAGAGTACTGTTCTCTTGTGAACCCTGGAAACCATTTTCTCTCTTTCTCTCTCACACACACTATGAAGAGAACTATATATAAAGAAATCCAAATAGCTCTGTATGGTTAGTGAAAAGGACGAGAACAAAGAATCTTGTTGGTCACATGTGAAACAGATATGGAGTTACCATAGGTAGCAACTGTTTTAACCTTTAACTTCTAGGGACAAACTTGGTTTTTTATTCTCCTGCTAAATTCATTATTACCCGAGTCAAATTTGTTCTATCAGCAAATTAAAGCTGACTACTTTGATATGCAGCATTTAGGAGAATTTTTTAGGCTGGTATCACCTACTCCAGGTGCATTTATTAATCAATTAATAGTGTTACTTACATGAAAACATTTAACTTTTCAAGTTGTGACTGTTTTAAGGGCTTGATCCTATAATTGCTCGAGGGAATATCATGTCAAGGTTTGAAAAATCAGCAGTTGATGCCATATGTATGTAAGATTGTACAAGTTACATGGAACAAATTTTAATATTATGCTTGTACAAAAGTTAATTAATTAAAATGTTGATGTTGCAATCTTAGAATAACCATAAAAATGAAAATCATTATGATATCAAGTGGTCCAACCCCTCTTGGATACCACCATAGACACTGATTGCAGATAAGATCCCACGATCTTCAAGTTGCTACACACCCATATTAAGATCAACTCCATCTTGTGACCCTGATCAACATGCAACACTCTCCCCAATCCTTACATCTTCTATCTTGATTCGAATGAACAATATTGAAACATCTTTTATTGGTAATTTTTATTGATATATATATATATATATATATATATATATATATATATATATATAATATATCAAAATCTTTTAAAATTAAAATTTCTCATTATTTAAAATCAATTACATTATAAGATAATAATTGAATAAAATCCTATGAAATTAAAATGTTAAGATTAATAAATTTTACATTAATAATATTTTTATAACTTAAAAAAGAAAGTAGAAGATAAAAATCGATGAGTTATATTAACTCAATTAAAATCCATAATTTCTATATGCAATTCCTATTTAAAACATATCGTTTTTTTTTTTGGATAAGGTTTTGTAAAATTGATTTTTTAATGACATTATTTACATGTGTACAGTTGATTTCATGACATAGGATAATATTTGTGTATATTTGATACCAAAAAATAATGAAAAGAATTAAAGTATATAGTAAAAATAATTTTTATAATATATAAGAACTAACAAAGAGCCCCAACAAATAAAAAAGTAGTAATAAATTCTTTTATATAATTCACTTGTATTCTTATTTTTTAACTTTACAAATATCCAATAATATTATTAGAGTTAATAGTTTATACGATGACTAATTTAGTCGATTAAAATTAAGTATGTGATTCAAAACTAGTTTTTTTTCTGCCAATTTTCTTGCAAAAAATTGTTTAAATTTACAGAAAACTTATTTCTTGCAATTTTTACAAAAAATTTGCAAAAATATTCCCATAAAAAATGAGAATTTTTAGTAGTTATGAATTTTTGTATTGACAGTCTTCTTTTTAATTAAGAGTTTTAAGAAAGCGAATTTTATTGAATTAAATAATGATTCAAAGAAGGATATACTAATACATAAGATAATTAAACTCAAAATAAAGATTGATGAAAACTAAATATGAGTTGAACTCTTACATTAAATAAAAATGGAAAATTAAATAATATGAGAAATATCTATTACATAATGTTTGGTTTAAAGATCGTGTCATATTCTCGTATAAAATTCATTTGTGTTTTATTTATGAAAATTTTTATAATTATCTTATAAATATGTAACAATATTAACTATTATTTTAACATGAATTTAGACAAGTAAAGGTGAAAATAAATACATGTTAAGTAGTTTTGTGATTAAGATGGAGAATTTGGAAATGGAGGTGCAAGCTGGTACAGTTGTGTGGCGTGTGAAATAAGGTTTGGCAGTATGCATATCACAAATATATAGGAAAGATGAAGCGTGTGGGGTCAGTAAGAGGAGAGCATTGTGAAAACAAACGTTCTTCTTTCTGCATGGCAATGTGATAAAGCTATGAAAGAGATGGTGATGCATTGGCGTCAGTGTGGTTAAGTTACATGCTGGAAAGGAATCTCCATTGTTGATTGAGACAGAAATCCATAGTAGCAACTAGCCAAGCTAAGTGTCAAAAACATGTTACAGTTTTATGTGCCTTCTTTGGATGCCTCCAAGCATTTCTCACGGGGAAGGGATTCTCTCTCTCCCCCCTCTGTTCTTGATTTGGCTTCTGCTACCAACAAAAGTTAAACAAAATTTGTTTTTTTATTATAGATGTGTTGTTGAGAAAGAAAAATCGATGCCATTTGTCAATTATTTTCAGTTTCTCTCCAAACCTTAGAGTTAAACGGGTTGCAAGATATGTCGTGTTCATTCTGTCGTTTGTTATTTGATTCTTGTGGAACCATCAAATTAAAATGATAAAAAAAAAAGTAACATTTTAGATTTTGTGCTGGCATTTTCTTATTTCTTCACAACAGTCTTTTCAAATTTTAAACAGGTGAATGAAAAAATAACTTAACCTCCTTTTGTCTTCACTAAACCTTTTTACTTAGGATTCCTATCAAAATTCTCAATTCCCTTTACTGTTTTAACACAATAAAATAAATTTCAATGCTGTAAAAGTACTGCAACCCTATATTACCACTATTCTGTATCCTTAATTATGATACTTTTATTTATTTATTTAATTTGATATACAATGAAGAGACTAGATAATTAGATGAAAGAGAATTTGGGATGTACGCATTCAGAAACATTTAACTTAAAATTTTAATTACAGAAACAATAAAATTTGGGAAAATTAATAAATAATATATTATTTTCATCCTAATCTCAAATTAGAGGGGAGTGTGCAAGATTTTGGCATTATGACTCTTGCTTTTTATGAAAATATTTTAACTGGAATAGACAGATTATATAATTTTAATCCGTGAAGGGTATTATTGTAATTGTGTGATAAGATGTCTAATTGAAAGAGACTTAACATTTTGCTTATCAATATTTTTGTTTGTTTCAGGGGGTAGGAGGAGGACGAGGAAGTGCTATTATTTATATTTATTTTATGTATTTATGTAGATTATGATTCTTTTTATATTTTATTTTAATGTTTTTCTTATGCGTCATCGAAAAAAAGAAAAGTATGCAAGAGAAAAATTGTCGTATTAGATGAAATTATGTGAAATATATTCTTCATTGTTTTATCATCAGTATGTATTACACAGTTTAAGGCATCTCAATATATGCTATTTTTTTTATAAAGTTTAATTATATTTTTAGTTTCTAAAATTTAAAATAAATCATTTTTAATTTCTAATATTATAAGAATTAAATTTTTGAAGAATTAAATATATTTTTTTAAATTTTAAATTATTTTACATTTTAAAAACTAAAAATATAATTAAATTTTTGTAATAATTATTTTAGGAAGCATAATCAAGATAGTTGCCTATGCACCTCTCCAAAAAATATGTTCTTTCTTTTTTTCAATAATTTAGAAACTATATAAGTATTCTAATGTTGATAACAAATGTTATTTTTTTCTGTTGATTATTATTATTATTATTTTATTTTTATTTGTTCATTCATATTTTAACTTTGGTAGGGGATTTCTTAAAGTTTCTTATAAAGCATATTGGATTATAAATGTAAATTCACACGGTAACAATTTTAATTTTTTTTTCATATTCTAACATCTCTAAAAATCATTTTCTTATTTAGTTTCGCACTAAAAATTTTCCACGGAAGAGGGGTGAAATGCAAGATTCCCAAGAAAAGAAGATATAAATATCAAGAAACATTCCAGGAATAAAAAATCACTTTGGCAAAGAAAATGCCTCCTAATAAAAAATTCTTTATACTTGGTGCATGATTTTTTTTTAATTACTAGGGTCACTGAAAAAGTATTTTGTCTCAATAAATAAAATGTAATTTTCATACTGATGACCTGATAGAAATTAAAGCTTGACAAATCTACTTAAAAAGTCAATTATTTACTATATTTTGTACAGTATTGTTCACTAATTTTCTTGCTTTGTTGATTTTTCATCAATTTAAATATAAAACCTATCTGAGCAGTAAAAAAATACAAAGCAATGATCAGTATTATTACTTGTGAAGTTTTTAATCTTTTTTCTTTTACTTCTTTTTCTTCTAAATATAAAATGGTGGATTCAAAACTTAATACTTGCAAATTATTTAAAAATAAATATTAGTAATACACTTTATAATAACCAATTTTTAAAACATATTTGTTATAATTGGTTAAAATTTATTAAAAAAATAACAAAATTTGTTAGTCTATAGTTTCTTATTTGTTGTGTTTCACTTATAATTTTATAATTCTCAAAAATTTTAACTTAGTGTGTATTATAATAAATCTTGCTAGCACACACACCCCTCTTTATTTTAAACTCTGAATACAGCATGCTTCTAGTAATTTAGACATAAATTGCAGAAATAACAAGGCCACTAGTCTTACTTTGTAAATTTTCCTTATCTATATCTAATATTTTGGTAGACATACTTTAAAGGTTTCCTTGACTTATCAAAATACTTGAATTGAAGGTATTATTATTTATCAGATATATCTCATTTGGTTAATATGTGTGCAGAAGTGTTGTAGATATCATGTTAACAAAAATTCATTCTAAAAGTGGTAACTATAAACCTTACTTTACTACTAAATAAACATTGATCCATGTTATTAAACTGAAGTTTTGATGTAAAACAGATTAAAACTAGGAAGCAAATAAGACAATTACCACAAAATTAGTAATGTTAGGATATAAAGTTCTATTTAAATATTAAATAGAAGATATTATTTGTATTTTTTTTTTTCAAATTTAGTTTTGTTTGAAAGTTTTTATCTACAGCAGTTTATTTCAAAGGAACGAATATGTTAGCAATACAATTTACTAGTAAGACAAATTCCTTAGCAATTAATTATAAGTTGATGATTAAACTATTAATTTGTATAAACTAAAGCTTGCAATCAAGATCTAATTTAAACGGTAAGCTTAGTTTATGGACTGAAAACTATTAGGTTTTTATAAATACACTTAATACTTGCATTAGAATCAGGTTTTAAACACAAGTTAGTTGAGATATAAATATTTAATGTTATAAAAGTTACCATATGATCTCTCCTGTATACATATAAAGCTGTGACAAAAGAATCACAAAGTGTATCAGATTTTCTAGGTGTTAAACCTAGAGATCAATTACTATAATATAAAAAACCTATACATGTTGGCTACAATTGCTGATAAATGTTACCATGCTATATAATACTTGCAATGATTATACTATTGTAGAAACTGCAGACTTTAATGTTTTTTGAATGATAGTTGTATACATCTTAAAACAATGAACAATGTCACGACAAAGAAAGAAGCGTACCCTACGGCTCCAAGCAATCATGCAATAACTCTACACGCCTTTTGTAAAGAAAGAAACTAATAATTGTGCAGAACAAAAAGAACATTAATAAATAACAACCCAAAAAACGAAAAGGAAAAGAGAGAAAAACACGTAATGGAGATGCATGTACTGGAGACACAGATGACACATTCCGATCATCCATATTTGAAACCAACAACGACAAATCTAGAGTGGTCCAATAATCCAGTACTGCATGTAGGGAAGAATCTATGTCTAAACATGGCTCGATGTTATGGCTGTGATGCAGAGGCTTTTGGCAAGCTCAAACACTTGACCCACCCAATCAGATATATATCATATGCGACCAACCAACTGAATAGCATTTTTGTATTGTTAGGCTAATATGCTCCACAAAATAGGAATTCCTACCCGACGGATAATATGAACTAACGTGAATGTGACTGCATAAGCTCGGGAAAGAGAAGACATGACAGTACATTTTACTTGTAATTGAAAACTCATTACTCACTTGCCTGTAGCGTGAACACGACCTTTTCTTGGGGTTTGGATGGCCTTCAACTTTGGTTCATATAATTGCAGACATATTCTCCCAGTAAAATAGGACAGAGAATTCAAAAATTTAAAGTTCTTTTAATTTAGTTTTTTTTTTTGTTAATTTCACATATTAATGATATAACTAAAATAACATAAAATGATGAAGAAAAAGGTTAAAAGATTAATAAAATTCTTGAATTAGTTTTATGACATATAACCGTTTTGTTTTTTGTTTTTTTCTTAATTGCATTGCTTATGAAATATCATTTATTTTCTATTATTTTAAATTAGAAATGTCAGTTATAGATTTTCTTTTTTATTTCTTAGTGTTTAATGTATTATAGATTAATACAGTAAACACGTTATTTTTTTTATTTATTTTTAACATTTTATTACTTATCGGATTTATACTTAAAAAAAAAAAACTTCTCGCATTTTCATTTTTTATTTCTCAATCAGCAGCATAATATTATTTACTATAAGTATACATGAATTTCGAACAATTAGGCACGTATTATTGTGTCATAACTATTCCATATATGCATACAAAATTCATTTTAAAAACATGACAATAATAAAATTTGATACAATAAAGCTTGTATTTTGTTTTAAATTTTAAAATACTCAAATATTTTATTTGATGTTAATAAGTATTAGATGATTCTACTATTCTTCTCTGTATAAATTCTCATCGTTACAAATCACCTGTATTATATATATATATATATATATATATATATATATTAGCTATGATTTTATTACAGAATGTGGCATTAGCATTTTCAAACATAGTTATCAGATATCTTATTTACTATAATTTTTTGATAAGAAAAAATGATAGCTGGTTTTTGTGTCCATTTGCATTTTTTTCCAGGAACCTTTCCCACCAGCTAGGACAAATCACAAATTTATAGAGAGGAAAGAAAAAAGGGGGGACAAAAAAAAATAGTAATAATTATCCATCCTCACGAGTCTTCCTTAATCATCATCACCATGACTATGACCGAACATTCATCAGACCCCACACCTTTCTGTTCTTCGTCCCTCTGAATTACTGATATATTGTCAGATATGTCTTTATCAGACTTCACAAACAGAGAACGGTTGTTAAATTGTAGTTATATGTAACCAGATGTGTAAGAATTATTTTTTGTTATTGTGTTTTTTTTTTCTTCATAGGAATAATGAAATATGTGTTGATAAGATATAACTAGTACGAGGAACAAAATCGGAAATGTTACATGACAGAGAAAGAAAAAAAACCCACAGGAAAAGTTCATAAACTAAAGTTTCGTAGTGATAAAACACCTAGAGGCTAACTAACCATTAGATAAACTAGATAGTAAATTTATTATTCTAATTTTTTTATTATATTAAAAACATGTTAATTGAAACCATAATTTGACAACTTCAAACTTGATTTGGTAGGATATATAAGTAAGATATTTTATGCCGACACTTCATATTACTCAATATGTATGTATAAGAAAGATTATAACATAGATTATCCTGTCTGACTTAAATTTTAAAAATTCTAGATAAAAAGAGGAGACAAAATTCTTTAATTTAACTTTAAAATTAGAAAATGCTATATAAAAAAGAGGTGATAAAATGTTTAGAATGGAAGTGTATTCTCTCTATATTAAATTATTTTAAATTTTGATATAAATATTGTTTACATTTTTTTATGTTCTCATTTCAAATATATTAGGGTGAGTTTATACTAAATATAAGAGTTAGGCAAATCACATCTTTAAAAATATTTATATATATATATATATATATATATATATATATATATATATATATATAGAATTCAAATATTAAAAGTAAGAAAAAAAATATTAATAATTAAGTAAAATAAAAATGATAAGATTTTTTAAAAGGTACTATTATTTATTAAATTAAAAATTACCTTAACTTTTTTTTAATCAAAACCATCTCAATATTTTTTTTTCTCAATCACCAAATAAAGTAAAAAAATTCTTAAACGTAAAACACGACTCATGCCATGGCTTTATTTAAGCGATCTTTAACAACGAAAACTAAAATACAATAATGAATAAAAGTTTAAAAATTAAAATAGTAAAAGATTTGTGTTGAGATTAGAAGTAAAAAAAATGTGATTTTACAAAATGTGATCATAATTTTATCCTTTTTCACCGAAGGATCACGTGTCCTTAAAAGGGTTGTGTAGATGGATGGAAGTAGTTATAGCTCTTGAAGCTAAGGTAGGTATAGTTGGTTTTACCAATAATATTGAGGAATGAGAGATTAACGTCGTTCTTGAGGCTGCTATTTTCTTCCTTTGGAGTGTGATTTTCAAGTTGCATGGCTTTACTTTTGTCATAACCCTTCTCACGGAAAACTGTGTGCCAACCACTTTGCCAAAACGTGGTGCCACTGTCAGACACCGCCATTAGAACCTAGTTTCGGACGTTTCACATATTTCAATCCATTTCTAAATCTTCCAACCAAATTTCAACCAACTAATCTTTTTAAACATCCTATCATTTGCCAAATGAAGGTTCTTTTATACTATATTAGGGCATCTAGTTTGTTAATTCATTACTATTATATTATTCAGTTTCGACATCAATTTTTTTTTTACGATTATATTATTCATACAAAATATTAAGACCTTTTTTTTAATTTATAATTTTTATTTGCAGTTATTTGAATTTAAAACCTTATTTGACAGAACTTATCAATACCACTTGGATTAACTGTTGATAATTTTGTAACAATTTGATATTATCGATGCCAACAATCACTGTCTTATTATTAAAATGAAATTAAGTACAGCTATTATTATAATCTCATTGTCTTCAAAAAACTCTGATGATTTTTTTCTTTTACAGAAAATTAAACTGTTAATATATATTGCTATTATGATAACTTTTGCACGTCTCGCGGGAAAAAAATGCATTTTTCTTTTTTCTTTTTAATGATTTTCATATTTAATTTTACTGGTAATGTCAAGGAGGAACATACTACTCAATAATCTAACTCTATAAAAATTTAATTGACATTAAATTGTTGTGAAAAATAACATACGAAATAATTTTTAAAACAATTAATTAATGAGTTCTAATATTTAAGAGACTTAATGAATATTATAAAGTTCCAGAGAATAAAACTAAAACCATGCAAAATGTCGACTAAACTCTATTATGTGAGGTCTCTTGCTTAATTTTTTTATTTTGTTAGTAATGATGAAATTAAGTAATTATATTTAATCGTAAAGATTAGAAGAACACAAAAACAATATCATGAATTTAACTATAATATAAAACAACCTTATTTCGGTAAGGAGATAAGATATATTTAAGTCTAAATAAATTATTTACAATTTTTTCAGAAATTAACATTATTATAACAGATTTATTTATGATATTTTATATTTATAATAATATGCTTTTATATATATATATATATATATATATATATATATATATATATATATATATATATATACTTTTTAATAACACTTTAAAGAAAGAGATGATTCATAATATATAGAGGGTTGTAGTTAAAATAATAATACCGCCAAAAAAATTGTTATTATGAGTCTATAAGGAGATGGAAGGCATGGCAACCGGCGGGCGGGCGGGGTGGGATGGGGTGGGCGGGGGCAGGTTTTGCCTCCCGATCCCTACTCCCAACTTTTTTAATCATCCTCGTCCCGATCCTCGTCGGGTTAGAAATTAAGTCTTCATCCCCGTCATCGCTGGATTCTCCGCCCCGTCTCATCCTCGATCCATATTATTTTTAAAAAGATAATTACATTTATAATAAATTAATTTTACTACCTATTTTTTATATATAAATAAATATTTATAATTTATAATTATTATTAATTAAATATACATTTTAATTTATTATATTTATATTAAAATATGTATGTAAAAGAAATATTTAATCATTTTTTTATTTATAACATTGTATTCAATATTTGAATATTTATAACATTATTATTATAATATTGTATTCAAACATTTGATTATATATATAAGTTAATTCATTTTTAAGTTGTCATTTAAAAATATGAAATATATAGTTTATAAGGAAATATTTAATAAGTTAATTCTTATTCAATTAGTTCGAAGTAATAAAAGTTTAAATTATCAATTTCTTTAATCCTTTAAAATAAAATTATTTTATTAAGATAAAATTTGATATATGATAAATAAGAATAATAAGATAAAAAAATATGATATAATAAAACCTAATAAATGTAAATTATAAATAAAATAATATTAGTTACTACTAAGATTTATGTAAAATATTTAGAAAAAGATAAAGAATAAAAAAATTAACTTTGTGTTCATCAAATTGGTTGAAAAGATTGAAAAAAAAACAAATTGATGGGAGAGATTAGGGAAATGTGAAAAACGGAAAGGTAAGAGAAATAATAATGTAATAAATTAATTGATATAAAAGATTAAAAAAGACAAAAAAATTAAAAAGTGAGTAGAAGAAAAAAATTTAGTGAAATATAAAAAAATGACCTTATATGTAATAGAAAAAGAAAAGGAAATACTTTTAAAATATTAATATTTTAAAATTTAAATTTAAATATAAAGTCGGCACGGACAGGGTGGGGATTGCATTACTCATCTCTCGCCCGCTCGACTTTTAAATCGGGAAAACCCGCCTCGCCGCCTTCGCCCGCCTCGGTCAACTCGAATTTTTTGCGTCAAACTTGAGGCGGGGACGGATCTGTCCCCACGGGTATGAGTTTTATTGCCATCCCTAGATGGAATAGGAAATGTTGAGAGAAAAACTTTGACATAATGTAAAGTGGTGAAGGGTATGAATTCATAATATACAACAATAAATTTTTTAGTTATATATGTTGAATTCATTTTTTAATTTGTGTGTTGGTTATTTTGTTATTAAATTACCCAATAACCTTCTAATGTGTTGAATAAAATATTATTTAATATTAATTTTTTTAATAACTTTAATAATTAAATAACTTGACAAAATGACAAATGAGATGAAATATGAAACAAATCAAAATAAGTCAACATAGAGTGAGATACTACATAATTTTAGATAATAGTTAGGATAAGAGTGATGGTGAGGTAATTTTGTATTTTTATAAAAAAAAAATGATGAGTGAGTAGAGAAAAAAAAACACGGGTTGTACATTCCAAGAGAAACACGCATTCTAATTGTTCTTGGGCCAACCCACGCGAAAGCCCAAGCCCATAAATATGAAACAAAACTTGATAAGCTGGCCCATTTGTAAATTTCGATTCTGAACTTGTTTCTTTAATTTAGGGTTTTCATCAGGGAATTGTCCTTTAAAAAAATTGAAACTTTTGCGTGTCTACAATGTGAATTCATACTATGAATCTTCGGATGAATTAATTTTTTTCCAAATAATAACGACAAGTTAATATTTGTTCGTATCCAAGACCATGAATCGTTTGTAAGTAACAAATTAACTATAACATAGTTAGATATATAATTGAAATGGAACCATGTGGATAAGAAATACACATAATTGAAACGAGGGTGGTGACTCATGGCAATCATCATGATTGCGTCACAGTTATAAATATACGAGTTATTTATGAGGATAGGTGTGAGATTGTGGTTGGAAAACATTTTTCAATAAATGTCATGATGCTATCATTTTTGACAGATTTATTTCGCAATTTTTATGGCTGAAATGGGATGGGTTTCATGAAGAATCTTGTCCATGGTATGGTGATGGATGGAATGGACAATAAATTAGCATATCATGATGATGTCCATGCATGAAAGCAAGTATCTCCTACTGTCTTAAAAAGATATAACTTTCATTCATGTATATTAGGTGAGATGGTTATTCCCTTAATAGCATGAAACTCATAAACATCTTATTGGAGGAAAAACCTTCTCTGTTGGGAATGATTTTTCACTTCACATACCACAAACACAATCATGTAACTAAAATTATAAATAATTAAATAAAAAAACATAATAATCCTTTCATTATCATAACAAGAAAAAAAAATCAAATTTTACCAAATATACTGTATATTTTCTTGTTATTATGAAGGATATTAGGTATTAATTACAGAAAATCATAATTAATAAATAATCCATTATATTTGCAGTTTTTCCATTATTATTTGTGCAGATAAATTATATTTTTATACCTGATGGATTTCTAATCCTATAAACTATAATACAAATAATTATATATATGGCATATAATATTGTCACAAGTAATACTCAATTAATTTTATTGTCCTGGTAGAGTATATTGAATTTCATTGTTTTGCAATGAATAATTCATCTAAAGTTGATTGGATTCAAACTGAATATAAAATCGAGAAGAATCAAATTAATGTAGAATTTTATTGTGTTCTTTTGTTTCCTTTTCTTCGTCTCTCTTTTACTGCTATGTACTTTTCTTAAACTTAAAAAGATTATCAAAGTTGTATCTTAATACTTGTTCTTAAGTGGTTCAAGAAATAATTTTTGAAATTAATAGTTTTTGTTACAATAAATGTTTACCTATTCATCCCTATTGATATCTTTCAACCTTTTTATTCCTACCAATTTTATGTTTTCTTTTATAAATGATTTTATTGCCTTTGATCATACACAAAGATTATGTAAAAGAGTTATATTAAATTTATTTTGTAAAAGGCAAAATGGGAAAGAATGTTTTTAATTGATTAAAAAAAATAATTTTAATCAATTAAAATATTCTTCAAATTGTTTTAAAAACAAGAAAAAAATTAATAGATTAAAATATTATTTTAATGATTAAAAAATTTAATTAATCCATTAAAATGCTCCTCTTTAGTGCTAAGAATATTTTAGTAGATTAAGTTCAATTTTAATGGACTAAATCTAATAATTATATAAAATAATTATAATTAAATAAAATTGAAAAAGTTTCATAAAAAAAATTTAGCATAGAAGGAGAACTATTCTGAAAGAACATTTTTGTTGGTTCTTTCATAAGATGAGATTGGAAATTATTGGTTATTTTTTTATTTCCGTTTAAAGTGTTGTTAAGGTGATCTTGATATTTTCTAATTACTTGATTATTGTGTGTGTGTAAGTTATTAATGAGAATAATTGAAGTAGTGATTGCAGTAGAATCTCACCAGAGATTGTAAAAGATCTTAGTGTGTGATAAGAGTCTTGAATTTGTTTTTTTCTATTAACTTTTACAAATTAGTTTACCTGAATAAATAATATAATGAAATTTGTTTTTTTTTTCCTATTAAAAATACGAAGTTGTCGAAACTTGTGTATTGAAATCAATTGATGGATAGGGCTCGGAGGATATGTGGAAGCTGTAGAGAGTCTTGAATTTGAATTCCTTGTACCGTACGAAATATTTGGAACTCACCACACAAATCAATTGGATGACAACATCTGCATCTTTTATTTCTAACATGATTTT